ATGATAGTGTTGTTAGGATTCATTACTGTTCCTAAAAATCTCTAAAATTTTATAAAGTGCATCTTTAGGTAAATGGATTTGGCTGACAAACTCTTTCCCTATTTTTCAGGGACTAAAATCTGTATTTTTTCTTGTCCACCTCTCAGTGGTCTTCGCGTAGTTAAAAATAGACACTTAAACCTATATTTAGAATGATACTACCAAGGACAGAAGACCTGCATGTGCATGGAAGGTGAAACGAATTCCTTTGATCAGAAAACTTTGCACAAATCTCTTAGAGTACTGGTGCGATATTGAGTGTGTTTATTGATCGTATTAGTATACTAATGGCAATGTATCTAAATTGTATTTGCCGACATAGAAAAGAAAGGAACGGAAACCCTGCCATTACACGGTTGAATTGTGAGGCAACTTAAGTGCCTTCCTTCCGCCCTTAGTCTTGCTAATGATGGAACAGGAAAATTTGCAAACGATATCATGTCTTTGAGAACACACTAACGACCCCAAATTTCAAGTACCAATCTACTTCTCGCGTATGAACAAACAGTGATTAGGTGTACAGAAAGAAACGACCAAAATCCTTATCCAACAAATTTTGTTTCTGACAAAGTTATCAAGCAGTCTCTCTTTTTTCTTCAGATTTATTCGCCGCTCGACGCGAGAAACGAGGGCGGCAGTCGACGGACCACAGAAAAAAGAGAGACTGCTCGTAGTCTAGCAATCTCTGAGAACATGTTTTTACATTCTTTGGTAGTTTCTGCACTGATAGAACTATCTCATGAATAGTACGTAACCCAGTTCAAAAGTTTTGCGTCCATTGGCGTGAATTAGATTTCTTGCTTATTAAAGGACCAGATTTGACTCGGGGAATTGAAGTAGAGCTGGACGACCAAGTCGGCGATAGATAACCATTTTGATTACTAGGAACGGACTTATTGTTCGGAAATTCCGGCGGGTCTGTCTGATCCACCTTCAACACAGGTAGGCTTACTCGTCTTCGCCTTCCTGAATGTCCTTCGCGAACGGCATCACTACCTTGTGCCTCGGCCTCAAACATCCATCCATTAAATTCCGTTTTTGCTAATGGCGTAGTTGATTGCTTCTGGTTGCTCCCTGTTGCTTCTTTTGTAAACACAGGCATGTATGCATCCAAGTCGACTTCTCGTTTTGCCAATTCAATGCGCCCTCCACCTTCAAGAAACTGGGGTGGCCTCGTCGGTAACCGAGTGGGAAGGGAGATTTTTCTCCTGCGATTTAACCCAACAAAAGTATTGCTTGCTGTAGATTCATTCTGAGTAAGCTGTGAATCATTGAAGGCTGGTTCTTTGCTCGGATCAGACGCATTCCTCGCTACAATGTAGCCAGAGGCTGAATTTGTTCGTGCTCGAGTTGTTGCGTTAAAGCTACAGTCTCCGGCAACGTTATAATTTACATCTCTTTTCCCTTCCTCATATCGTTCAACAGAGTTATCTACTGTGGAAGTTTGTTCCAAACCGTACAGCGAGTTAATCTGTTTTGCGCTCATTTCAATCTGTTGTTTAACATGCCTCTGAAACAAAGATCATTTCTTCTCGTCACGGATAACTGTTCTTTTCAGAACAAAAAAATTGCCTCCAGCTGTTTAGCTATTTAACAGACTTCTTAGCGTCTAATTAAGACAAAGTGGCGTTGAGTTCTCTAAAATGTAGATGAATAGCTTTTATACTCCTGCTGTGAAAGTATTACCCCAATTTATGTAACCAAAGAAAGATAATACAGCGAAACAGCAGCGCGGCTAGGAAAATGGAATGATTTCCTCGCAGGTAAAGCTTTAACGAATTTTTAGGCTATGGAAACTATATTGTCAACAAAAAGATGACGACGTATAATAAAGTTACAATATTTTATCTTAAAAAAAATACGTTACTTTCAAAGTCGGAGTTCCGAAGTCAATCTGAATGTATAGTTTACCACATTTATTCTTAATACTAATCACACATGTATAATCTGAACTTCGTTATGAAGGGAATGAAAAGGGCTAACTCTTGGTAATAAAAAAGGCATTTAATGTGAATCCTGGACGAATGGTGGGTGCGCTAGGATTTAGAGCCCTTGATTTGTCATGCGTTAACAAGATTTTATTCATGGAAGGTCATGGAAACTTTACATCAATTGTCCTTTTTAATCAAGTGGTTAGCAGCCATGCAAATCTTTTCAATATTGGAACAAAAGAGTGTTTTTGCATAAGAAAAAGTTCAACTCCCACAGGACTGGTTTGGAACACCAACATGGCCGCTGTTTCATTAGGGAGCTTAAGCAACGACGACAGCGACGGCAACGAGAACGGCAAAAAAGCAATTGGTTTAGATTGGTAAAATAACAACTTTGCACGTGTATCACGCTTTTTTCTACAATTCGTAGCCGTCGTTGCTCGATCCGCGAGTAAAACGTGAAGATGCCTACACGTTTTTGTCGAGGACGGGGACACAGGACGAAAGCTTCCTTTTTCTTTTCCTAAACTTTGATACAGTCCTTCAGAATTAAACTCCGAAAAAATTGCCAACGTTTGACGAATTAAACAAGCTGGAATAAGTTCGATAAAGTTTGAGGCAGCGCAGATTCTTGTTTTAAGACACCCACATGGCGGGTGTGACGTCATGTGAAAACGCTCTATATAAATCTTCTGTGCTGTTTCAAGTCTTCTAAGTCTCAAATTATGCTGCATGGCTCAGTTTCATTCTGAAGCGTGGTTTTCATTTGCTCGTCGGAATCGAATTAATCGCCATTGTCGTCTCAAAATGTGTTCACTCGATCAAGATCTACAATAGCTTGCTATCATATAAAAACATCTCTGATGTGATGCGGAACGATCGGACGATCCCGATTGCCTGGATGAGAACTTTGGGGCTATGTTCACCCTATAAAGGTTAGCTTTTCGGGGCGCCGGTATAGTGTGCACACCTATCCGATATATAACTCTACTCGACGCGGCGAAGCTTCTCTCCGCCACAGAAATCGCGCCGCCACAACCGTTCTCGTATGTGAACAGAAGCCTTATTCGTTATGATTTTCGTGGCGGCACAAAAGCTATCCGGTATAGTGTGCATACCTATCCGATATATAACTCAACACGACACGGCGACGCTTCGCTCCGTCACAGAAATCACGCCGCCACAACCGTTCTTGTATGTGAACAGAAGCCTTATTCGTTATGATTTTCGTGGCGGCACAAAAGCTATCCGGTATAGTGTGCACACTTATCCGATATATAACTCTACTCGACGCGGCGAAGCTTCGCTCGGTCACAAAAATCGCGCCGCCACAACCGTTCTTGTATGTGAATAGAAGGCCTTATTCGTTATGATTTTCGTGACGGCACAAAAGCTATCCGGTATAGTGTGCACACTTATCCGATATATAACTCTACTCGACGCGGCGAAGCTTCGCTCGGTCACAGAAATCGCGCCGCCACAACCGTTCTTGTATGTGAATAGAAGGCCTTATTCGTTATGATTTTCGTGACGGCACAAAAGCTATCCGGTAAAGTGTGCACACCTATCCGATATATAACTGTTTCCTTGGCGTGGCATACCTTCGCTCCGTCACAGAAATCGCGCCACCATCGAGTATGATTTTTGTGGCGGTGCAAAAGCGATCCGATATATAACTCTTTACGGACGGCGAGCGGTTGTACAGGCAAATTAAGTAACAAAATTAATTTTTTGTCTGCTTATCGTCACATTCATGGGACTTGGGTGCCACACAAATGAACTCTTGTTACAGTACTTAAAGCCGCCGCATAGCAAGTTCGGTTACCCAAGATGGTGTCCGCGCGCTGGTTGTTAATTGTTTGGGCTTTTACGGTTGTCACTCACTTTTGTTGTTTCAGTGCAGTTACCTTTCTACATTCTGCAAAAAGCACTGCAAATACCGTTACAAGACAGTGATAACCAGGGAATTTATAATGAATTTGGCACTAGTGAACTTTCTAGTTGTAAATAGGGTAATTGTGTTGTCCATTTACTTGTTTGTTGCACAGTCATTTTCTGCTAAAATGAGCATAATTAGAAAAAAAAACATTGGCTAATGCATACGGAAAAAATTACTCTTAATAACAATAGAGTAAAATGAAATAATCAAAAGTTTCCTATAATGTTACAAGTATTGTCTGCTGTTTATAGATAATTATGTTACTATGTAATGCACATTAAGATTCATGAAAGAAACATCGTTAACTAAACTGCAAGCAAATAGCTCTTGTCTAAATCTGTTTTTCCCTTCTCAAAACATCAAGAAGATGTTGTTTATCATTCATTCAAAATATTTCGCCGTTTCTCTTTGGCTCAAATCCCCCGGCTAATTCTTCATAACAAGCCGGCTGGTGTTGACCAAATTTGTAGATGCAAGTAACATACCATCGATTCAACGGTATCTTTGCCTGGAAACGCGGCAGCTAGGACAAAGTAAACTAAAAAAACTGGCTTTCATAGCTATCTGAAAACAAAATAGCTGAGTTTCTGACTAAAACTGAAAGGAATAAATTTCCAATATGGCGGCGAGAAGCCGCTGGGCTGAGGTTGGGTTGGACACAATAAGCTTTTTTCACACTTTTGTAGTCAGTGGAAAAAAAAAAACATATTGCAGCTTAAAGTGTAATATTTTAAGGTTTAGCTTAAAAAAGGTTAAAAGTATCCGCTACTTTCGGTAATCTAATCTTCCAGAGAACTAGAATGGTGAAAATTTTGGTTCTCCAGGAATTAGCGCAACAGAATATGGAAAAAAAATAGATTAATAAGTAAATAAATAGATATTACAATAAAAAAGAGACGATGAATAAATAAGGGTCGTTTTCCTACTGGTATCTGCATGTAATCAAACACAGTTTCTTCACACCATTTTCTCAGTTTCAAGGCACTTTTCCCTTGTTTCCTGCCGGAGTTTGCACGTTTTACTTAGCCATTTTTTGAAAATCTGGGAGAACAGAGCGCACTCTGTTTCAGTTGCAGAGAAACAAGATGTTGCTATTCCACTTCGCTAAGCCAGCGTTGGATACTGTCTTGTTTTGCATAATAAGCCTGTATCCTGTCATCTCTTGTCGCGGCAGGGATGTCAGTGCTCGTGCACCTAATGGTAGAAACGGAATCACAGTGCGACCTCGAACTGCAACTCATTCCTGAATCGTCTCTGCTTAACGTTGGTTTCCAAGGATCCTCTAAAGGTAAAACATGAACCACGTTGCTTATGTCATGACCGAGGAAATCAACGCCTGCTTTTTCATCTGCCTTAGTGCTATGAATCGCTTTTTTGGTACCTCTGATTGAAGTGGAATGATTCCGAAAACCTTTCGCCTCAAGGGTAAAAACCGAAGGCACGAAGATCCCCGAAGATGTCCCGATTTTCTTTTGTTGAAACGTCAAGCTATTTGGCAACGAGCTTCTTCTCTCAAGACGAGATTTCCACAGATTGTAGGATGGAACTTCCGAATTATCAGAATCCAATGGTCTCTTTTCACGATGAAACGACAAACCATTCAAACTGTTTACCCCGAGTTCTGGTGTAGATTCCCTCCTTAAAAAGATACAAAGCCTTGGGTCGTCTTGATAACTGTCACCCGTAAAGTTTCTTGATACGCCTGGCTTATGCACCCTGGTTTTGGGTTTATTTTTACTTGCATCCATTTATAAATATCTTTGCCTTTGACAACTAGCACGCCACTCCCGAACACTGAACGCGTTTCTCTTCCGCTCTCAAGTCAAAACATTAGATGGCAAAAAGGTCGATCCCATTCACAGCTACTTAAAGTGATCTGCAGCGTAAAGCAGAAATTTCAATCACGTACTTTAATAAACTTGTCGGAATCGGAAGCTTATTTGCATTTAGCACTTTTCAGTTCATCTTGTCCCAAAGTACCCGCAGATTAGAAGGATTAGTGTCCTATAAATAAAACACGTTCCATTCACGTTTTACAGGATACACCGCCATTATGCCATCCAGTGCTTGCAAACACCTAACCCTTCTTTATTCAAAACACAAAATGTCTTTGTAGCTTTTGATAAGTCTGCCATCTAGCACTGTTCGTTTGGTCCAAGGCTAAGCAAACTAAGCGACATGAATTAGACAGCACGATTTATCAACTTTTGTTGCCAAATCCTTCAAGCAAATAAACAGGCGCAAAACGAGAACTGCTAATTAAAAGTAGTTTCAATATTGCTCAATCGACATGTTAATAACAACGTTACGACTGGCGACAAGGTCTCCTATACAGACATTTACCCCGCACTGATACCAAAAACGCCTCGCGAACAAGCAGAAAAAAACTCCGGTCATTGTTTCATCCTACAAAAGACTTACTGAACAAATCTTTGTTGAAGGCGGCTTCCAAAAATAATGGAAGGATAAAACTAATAAATAGTGCTCTATTTTTAGACTATTGGCTATTAATCCAGATAAATTTGCCATAAAGAAGACTCTAGTCAAGGACATTCATTGTAAGATATTACCCTTAATCTGTACCATTTCAGTGTTAGGTGATTTTGTTTGCCAAGAAACTCGACAGTAACTTGGCACATTGTTCCGTAAAACATTCAATCATTCATTAATTCAACAGCCAGGAACATCTTGCTTCGGAAAAAACAAACAAAATACTGTCCCGTTTGTTTTTATGCTTATTAATGTTTTTCCGAGAAACAAAGGAAGCTTTCATCTTATCGGGAGCATCCTTAACCCTCTAAGCCCCAATACTGACATCCCAATTCTCCAGATTGATCCTCATACACTTCCTTAGAGAAAAATTGAGAGAATTCGATAGCAGATCAAAGCAGTTTCCCTTAGACGATTATTTGATTTATTCTCATATTAACCTTTTGTCTATTGATACTGTTATGAGAAAACATATGTTGGTCACTCTTGGGACTAAGTAAAAGGTCTTAAATTCACTGAATCTTTAGTTACTTGCAGGGATACAGAAAACTTGAAATACCGAGCAAGGACTCCGCGGGTCAAACAAAGCAACAACAAAAAAGTGCTTTGTTGTGGTAATGGGCGCGCATTTTTTTTTTTGCTATCAAAATGAAAACCCGCAAGGCAATATGACCGGTTTTGTAAAGTTCCGCTTCATTAAGTTTGGCCGTTTGACCGAAAAGGCGATTTTAATTACTAAGGTTAAATGTGAAGTACAGCTTTTGACATGGGCTTAAAACGTTTTCATCAAAATGAAAAATATTGAGCAGTGCTCTCGTACAAAGTCAATAAGAGAGGCAAGGATATTAAAGGACGCCCTGCCTTATTAACCACCGCATAACGAACTCAGGGTGTGGGTCAAAATTTTTTATCACTGTTAGCACTGATAAGGAACAGTCTATCACCAGTTTTGTTTTGCCGGAGAAAAAAAAAATCGCAGATCTTGCTGGGTGGTAACATTGGTACAAATTTAGCAATTTAGCTGTTCAGTACAACAGCTCGCCTCTTTGTGTTTCTTCAAACAAACTCCTGATTCATGAAGCGAAGAAATGTAGGGCTTATTATGTAAACTTGCGGTGGAAGCCGGTGATTTTCTCACACTAACAACGTTAACGTTTTTGCGTCGACCGATCACTTTAAGGTGGTTTAACTCTTTAAGCCCCATTAGAGACCAGCATCCAGCTAGTCCTAAAAACAACACAGTCTGATTAAACAAACAGGTCATGAGAATGAATTAAATGATCACTAAAGATGGAATATACTGATGGTTGAACAACTTCTCTCAAGCAGTTCCATAAGAAACGTATGAAGAATTGTGTTGAGAAAATACTGTTAAGGATATTGGGATTGGGGTATTGTTGCGGATATTGGGTTGCGGATATTGAACGTCTAGTGCCTTCGCTCCAAAAAATGATCCGAACGTAGCGAAATCAGTGAGCCATTCCCAGCTTTAGCAATGTTAAACGAAGTTGCTAACTCAAGCTGGGAAGATTTTCTTTACTCAAATACTGAGACCGTCACTTGAAGTGTTTGCTCAAGCTTACTAGCTTACTACCAGCATTTAAACTTTGCAGATCCGCGGGCCCTTGGGCCGAGAGCGGCGACGTCCAAGGACCTCATCCCTTGGTGTCCACGCTTGGAAAATCGATCACGCTTGTAACCTTATTTCCAATTCATGAAAAAGAGCGCATACATCCGCACTTTCATATGGTATAATGGTTTTCAGTACTTCACAAACAGACGACTTAACTTTTGTTTTGTTTTTGCCTCCCTTTGATGCCTTGATGGTCTCTCTTTAATCAGTATGCCGTCGCCTCTCATCAATTTCACTAGAATCAGTTGACCAACGTCATCAACTTTAATCAGTTTTACACTTGATAAAAAAAATGATTCTCATATTTTGCCAGCAACGCACAATTCAGTAATACAAATAAATTAACAATTCTCTTAGTCACCGTTACTGAGTCTAAAAATATTTGAAAGACAAGATAATTTATTTCTAAGCGAACCACACTATTATCGAAATTCTACAGTCTATTTAAAATTAGAGGGACAAAGCCGATTTTCGCCTATAAGACATTATTTTTTTCAATATTTATAGATACAATTATCAGTCTTTTGCCAATGTTGTGAAGCGAGGATACCCACAACTTAAATATGTAATAACGACTGCACATACGGGTGCCTGCAGAAACTTTGATCAGCGGACCTTGAAATACAACAACAAGTATTACAGGAACTGTCGTTGTCGCTTCTCTGAGTCGTGGTGAAGGTAAAACCCGCCACACCTTGAAACACTCACTAATTTAGCAGTTACCCTACAGACAAAATATTTTTCAGTGCGACGGTTTACCAGATAGCACGTGGACTCTGGATGCTAATCACGTGAAATGTAAGATGTCACGTCCTCTGGTCTCCCAGGGACAAAAGAAGTCCCCGTGACGGTATTTTCTAGAACGCCTCAACGTCAGTATCATACTCCTCAGCTTGCTCTCCAGTTAGGTCGATCCTGGCGTAGTCGTCTGAGTCGATGGACTTGCAAAAATGGATGGCATACTTAAGCTTTTCGCAGAGTACTCTCTGACAAGAGTACCGAGGCATCTTAAGAAGGAAAAAGCAGGTGTACGACTCCGGTAGGTAGTGGTCTGGGGGCGAGTATTTGTCAAGTACCTGGAAACACATTTATATGCAATAGTTTTATTACGTTAAACCCACAATAGGCATGAGAACTGAAGCACGTAGTAAAGATATGAAGTTTTCTTCTTTCCTGATCGGATCCCCATACCTCAACAAAGCTTGCTATGGACGGCGGGTCTGTGGAAGTCGTGGATAATTCAACACTTCTTAGAAGTTTTCAAATCGAAACAACGCAACACCAAAATGTGCTCATTGCGTCTGTAACAGTGCAGTGTTTCACCAGGCCATTACAGAGTTTATTTAAGGTAGATACCCAGGAGAACACGCTTGTTTTGACAATCTTACATAATTAGCCGAACCCCCACAACAGCACAACAGGTCCCAAAGTTTGGCATCTTTGGCACCATTGGTTCACGGGAGTATGAAATAATAGAAACATCGCCCATGTTGGACAAAAACTTCGCTGTGACTTGTCTTTGACCGGTGTATCGAAGCAAGATCACTTACCTGAAATACAAAGTCCCTGCCTCGGAAATCCACGATAGTTCTCGGGAGTCGTGTTCGCCCCCAAACAAACCGAAGAAACAACGAGCGCTCGGCGTTGGAAAAACTTTCTAGTGTATCCCAGAACCAACGAACCAATGGAGCGCTAGCGTCTACCCCTTTATACGTCACCACGGACTTTAACAGGTCCAAAGGTATATCGGGACTGCCACACACCATTGTCTCCAGTTCAGGACCGGTAAAGAGAGACAGCAAGGGGACTGGGACCACTCGTGCCATGCCTTCTCGAACCGCCGATACCTAATGGTAGAAAAGATTCATCATATTAAGTCAAATCGAGAGGAAAAGTAAAACCATCTATCTAAACGTATTTGTGGGGACAACGTTTTACTTCACACGCTCCAGACGTTATTGACAAATTGTGGGGTCAAGATGGCTAGGTGTCGACTAGTTTTTTTCTTTGCTTTTAAGGAGCGAGACGAAGTCGCGGTCTACAAAAACACGAAACAAAAGAACGACTGACAAACGGGGCGTTTACCTACTGACACCCATCTACAGCTCTATTTCCAACATTTTGTAAAATAACACAAAATTTGAAATAATACATCATATATCAAAGGGATAAATAACTTAAAATGTATAAATCAAAGGCTCGAATTTTTTCGACCATTTCGTGAAAAACAACATCACCGTATTTGCTGACTCAAGAACTGACTGACAAGATAAAAGTTAGAAGCCAAACCAAGAACAACACTTACCTGTACATCAAACTCATGCAATCGGTAATGAAGTGCTAATCTAACATATTCTTCTCTGTTGTCCAGCGTGATTCTCTTAACCTTATTATGCAGCTGTACTTCTTGACCGCTGGCACTAGGAGTACTGAACGGCATCTCCATAGCTTCAAACGTCTCATCCATGTCCCGGATGCACATCAAACCAGGCACATAATCTTTGTCGATTTCAGCCAGGTCTGTCACTCGCAGTGACATCCCTAAAAAAATATAATAATTTGCCAAAGATTATAAGAACTTCTTTAAGGACGCTGGCGTTCACGTATATCTTAGGTCTTTAGTTAGATTCTTTAATAGATAATGACTAGCTCTCTTAAGAAATGCAACAAAAATTTGGAGTTGACGTTATTAACACTCCACTGCAATATGTCTTACCAGCCAGCTGCTGCCAAACAGGTTCAGCGAGGTTCAAGCTCAGTGGGCTGCCTGTCCTGATAGCAATTCCTATCAGCACACCCAGGAATTTGAACATGCTCAGATGCACAGGAGAGCGAGCGTCAGGATTCAGAATAAAGCAATCTCTGTTTGCTCCTGACTCTTCTCTTCCATTAGGGGTGACAATCAGCAACGGAAGAGAGCCATTTTGAAGCTCATCGCACATTTCCGCGATGGACTCCGAGTAACCACCTCCACAGTCATCAACACTTTCGCCAATGAACTTGACCTTCCAAACACGATGCGGGAGGAACAAGCTGTCGGGACCAAAGTTACTCATCTTAAAGCAGGCCTGACCGAATACCGATTTAGAGCCGTCTGGTCCAGTAAGACCACCTTTGGATCTGTACTTTTTGATCTAAAAGAAAAATGTATTATGCTGACGGATCAGGTTAGCCTTCTAATAGAAATATATGGTGGATTATGGGGTTCAGTACAACAAACACGTTGTACTTAAATTGTACAATGAGCTGCATTTGATGAAAAACAAAAAAGGAAAGATGTGTATGTGCGTATGACTTGCATCAGTGTCATCCAAACACTCATTAAACATGATGAAAATGTTTCTTAAGCTTTTGAAATTGTTTGGTGCAATCTTCACGCTTTCTACCAATAAATGTGAAAGTGTATTTACGAAAAACGAAGGACACTACGTAATTCGAGGCTGACGTTACTAAAGGATTTACCTGTATTCTGTTTAGTTCAATCACAGGACCATGCTGTCGGTCACGAACCATGGTTGTCTGAACTACTTTACGGAAGGCTGCTTCCTACAACAGTCACGACGAAGTGAGTGTTATAAAGAACAATTGTCGGACAAAAGAATAACACTGGGATTCTACAGAATGAAATACAAAAGTTTTATCTTGGTAACAAAAGGCAAGTGGGAAAAGGCATTTAGATAGGAAAAGTTAGCGAAAAACCCGCCAAATGTTAGTTACCATGGCATCTTTTAGTGTGGGCGTGGCGGTCGAGTCGTTAACACCTCGAACTTCGGACCTGTAGATCCCGGCTCAAGTCCCTCATTTTTAGACCAAAAACTGTTCTCCACTCTGTTTCTCTTAATCCAGGCCCGGGTTGTTCAACCGTTGGATAGCACTATGCAACGGATAAACCACTATCCAGGCAGATAAATATTAGGAAAACCAGTGGATAGCGTTATCCACCTTTTGAACAACTGGGGCGGGCAACCACCACATACTACTGTGGGCAATCCTGAGATCGACCAGAATCCCGGAGCGGAAGGGGAAAGGAATATCCCTAGGTGTCTCATGCTACATAAACCGGGCTTAGCTCCGGCTTAGTGGGCCCCGCAGGTCCGTGGGGGGGAACTTCTGCATTTTTATGGCATTTTTGTCATTGAGAAATTCCGGTATATAGTAATGTGTGGAATGCAAGTAATAAGTCTTTATAGCTAGGGCGCTTACATTTGTCAGAACTGGCTGCGCACCACACCAGTTCAATCGTAAGGAAAATCCTACTGTTAATCAATACTATCCAGCCAGATCAGCTTATTCTGAATAGTACCCACGGATGTGATGCCGGGTTTTAGTAAAAATTTCAAAAAAAGAACTAATATTCCATTTTCAAATCAACCGGTCTAGCCGGCCAGTTCTGACTATGGAAAGCACCCATAGCCTCGGTCCCCACCTTGCCCGATGGTATCAATACACCTCTCAACGAATCAAGCGCTACCAGTGGTTCCTGACCAGCATGTTCCTTTAGTCGGGGTTGCAGATCAAACATGGCGAGCGAGGAACACACGAGATCTGAGAAGTGGTGAAGAAGCATGAGGCGATTTCGAAGAGTTCCCAGGAAGATTGACTGTAGATGGTTATACTCCATCGGGACTTCCCTGGGAAGGCGACCGGCATTGGCGGGTTTAGTGGTGGACCAAGCGATCGTGTGAGCCGAGCCACATGCCACACGATTTGTCTTTTTACCCTGAGAAGGAAAGGAATTGTAAAACAAGGATATTAAAATAAGAACTGACAAAACAACAGACACAAGGGTAACAAAAAATGTTAAAGTTGCATGACATTTGTCACAGTCACTGACTCATTTAACTCTATTTAAATGCACAGCCCCCTGCCCCCCCCCACCCCTCCCACTCGCCGTTAAGCGGACACCATAAAAGGATCCCAACCATTTTAGTCACTCGCTTAAACTCCCATTAAGGCGAACATCTTACTTAGACCGTCAATCATTGCCGCGACTAACCGTGACCGACTTAGAGACTTACGCGCTTCAGTTGGACCCTCCATAATACGGATACATTTCTATTAAAATAGTTTTCTCAATGTTCCCGAAAATAACAGTCCTCATACATATTTAACGTTTACAATATGATGCGGACCTTTGGATTTCTCTCTCTAGCGTCCATATTATGCAGGTAATAGACGGTTTTCGAAACTAATCAAAGTGTATGAGAAACGTACGAAATTTTCGTCATATTACCTGGGCTAGAAACACAATGAAAAATTTTTCGATACTATTTGAATGGAAATTGAGAGAAGTGTGTCGTCACGTTACCATAGTAGCAAAATTTCTGGATCACGACAATAGGAAGCGAAGGCAAAGAGAACTGGAAAAACGCAAAGGTTTATAACAGCAAAACAACAACTGTGCACGTGAATCACGCTTTTTTGTACGTCTCTTGGCCGTCTCGCGTTGCACGACTGCGACGTAATACTTCTTAATTTCACGCACCCGCTTTACGAGGTAGATGACCAAAAAGCAAAATTTTCCCTTTCTTTTTTAAACTTAGATACGGTCCTTTCGGATTTAACCCCACAAAATGCCGCCTTGACAAATTCAGTAAGATCGTCGAAGTTTTAGACAGTGCGAATTCGCTTTTTAAGTGATGTTTTCGGTTTGTTGTTGTCCAGAAATTTTGCTACCGTGGCAAAGTCACGTAACAACTTCTCCTCTCTATTGAACTAGTAAAGAATTCCCACCTGCAAAGCTGTGACCAGCCTTGGTCTTTGAATAGCGTTGGTGGAACCATCTCCTAACTGTCCCTCGTCATTGTCACCCCACGTGTACACCTCACCTGTGTCGGTACACGCCACACAGTGCAAAGAGCCTGTTGCTATGGCGATGACTTTCTTGTTTTGTAACGCTGCCACCCTTTTTGGGCGTCTCACATGATCATCTGAGCCGTGACCGAGGCGGTAGTAATCTCCTTTACCCCTGCACAAAGTAAAAAAGACCTACTGTACAAGGGCTTAAAGGGAATAGTCAAGAGTAACGCCCAGTTTTACAATGATCAAAATGAAAGAAATTAGCAAGCAAACAAACAAAGAGGCAAGGGAAAAAGTAAAACACGAACGCTCAATAAGCTAGGTTGATAATTGATAGTTACTAATTTTTAGCACTTCATTGTATAGTACAGTGCAAATTTACCTATTTCTTTTGAAAAGGCAACATGATTACACATTTTTAAGAAAAAACGTGATATATTTGTTGCACCAAATTACTGTAGTGTTAGTTTTAGTGTTTAACCGATTGTATATGTTGTGGGTCAATTTTATCCTTGGTTTAATTTTTATTTCCTTTTGTTTTAAACTCGTTACCATACATTACCATCCCCCAAAACAAAGGGAAATAAAATTTAAACCAAGGATAAAATTGAACCACAACATATTTATACGACATGAAGAGCTAATGGGATGGCATCTGAGTGGAGTTACAATAACCAGAAGTAGAGATATTGGGGGTAAATTTCAGTGAAATTTTTATCAAGGGAAAGGAATTTTAGTTCGAGCTGGCGGGGAATTCGAGTTAATCGAGTAAAAATGACTGAAAAGTGGGGTGAGATCCAAGGGAAATGGGACTAAGTTCGAATTAGCGGGGAATTCGAGTTATCGGAGTCCAAGTTATCGAGGTTCTACTGCAGCTTGTAAGGACATTCAAGGAACACCATACTAGCTAATAAATACAGTATGGTAGTCATGGCCCCTTTGTAACTGTAATAGTAAGTTCATCACTTACCACGTGTACACTGCACCAGACTTGGTCAGAGCTACAGAGAATTGCGAACCGCACTCAACTTTACACACACCAGCCCTCATGAGTGAATCAACCTTCATAGGAATCTTACACCCATCACTTCCCCCGCGACCGAGCTTGCCATAATCCCCGTCTCCCCAAGACCAAACACAGTCATTGTCCGTCAAACACAGCGTCTGCGCGTCTCCGCTTCCGCATGCCACGTCTATGACACGATGTCCGCGAAGTGCCTCCACCACTTTTGGCAGTAGCTGGTCTTCACTGTCACCGTGGCCTAGTCTTCCGTATCTTCCCTTACCCCAAGTGTACAACTCTCCGTTGCTTGTGATGCAAGCGCTGTGGGATCCACCACAGGCGATGTCTACTAGTGCTTTGCCTCGGAGAGCTTCAATAACACGTGGACGATCACAAGAGCTAGAAAAATTGAGGCATTTGTTAAATGACTACTGTGTGGAATGTTTACACGAAGTAATAAGCCCCCCCCCAAAAAACTTCTGATACCAAAATAGAGTAATTAGCCCAGTACTGACAACAGCTAAACCTCAACAGCACTTAATATTTACTGGGACGAACAAACATACAAACAAACAACGAGGCAAAATGGGGAAACAAAAACACCGAACACAATATACAAACAGACACACTCCATGCAGTCAAATGGACATGTCAACAGATTGGAATAACGCAGACATTAAAACGGCATAAAGAGAAAGAAAAGTTGTCCAAAGTAAACCAACAGTCAAAAAGCTTTTTGTAAAGCAAAATCAACCGCGGTGAACCTCACATTCACTTAGAATTACAAAACATACCTTTAACGATGCAAAGCAGTACGGATTTTGGCCAGTTCGACTAGTTTGTGAAGATATATATATATACTTTTGGTCTCAGACCTCGTACCAGCGAAATGAGTACTTATCATTTCAAATGACCGCTTCTAAACTGACAGGCAAAGGGAAATTTCTTCAATCAGAAATAAGGAACCGTGAGTTTAACTAATAAAAGTACTTACTTCCGGCTACCATGCCCAAGTTTGCCGTCATCCCCTTCTCCCCAAGAGTAAACACCACCGTCCACGGACAGTGCTATGGCGTGCTTGCCTCCAGAATGCACTGCAACCTTTTTGATGACCACGTGTTGCAAGGATTCTATTAACCGCACTGACGTCACCGTGTCTGTTCCGCCAAGTCCCAGACGACCACCGTGTCCGTAACCGGTGGCGTATACCTACAAAGAAATGGTAAAGAGTAATGTTTAATCTGAGACGTTTCCAACTTAATTTGCCAGATACAGTTAACAAACGCTAGAGGTAATGGCTCCCAGGTGCTTCCCATGTTCTTGAGAATTCCGGCAGTTTTAGAGCATTGTGGACCGATGCGATTTCTAAATGCTTAAGTATAAACGACTGAAAAGAAGCAGAATGAAAGCTATACGACAACGCAATAGCTAACCAACTCACAGATTTAGGAGCACCATAAAAAGCCCAAAACGTGGTCTGAGTGCTTATGTAAACAAAAAATACAGTCGACTCTCTCTCAACAGACACCTCTATAAGACGGACACCTCCCTAAAACGGACAACTAGAGTTGGTCCCTGCCTTTGTTTACTCCCTTTATTTGACTCTCTATAACACGGACATCTCTCTAAGACGGACACTTACTGCTGGTCCCAGAGGTGTCCGTCTTAGAGGGAGTTGACTGTACAAATATTTAGGACGTAAAATGCGACTCCAACAGCACAAACCTTTCCATCTGCTGTAACTGCAAAAAGAGTTTGCTCTCCTCCAACAATTTGAACAGGCCTTATAGCACTGAGGGCCTCACAGGGCTGTGGAAACTTGACCTTTCCGCCCTCAATCCCGCCGAGCTGACCGCGGTGATTGTGCCCCCAGCCGTAAATAGTTCCACTTCCACCCCAGGTTACCGTCCAATCTGAGGGGCGTCTGAACACCAGACAAGCTAGAAGTTAGTGACTAGAATGGATCTTTCAAAATCTGGTTTCCAATTACAAGGAAACACTTTAGCCTTGTGATTTAGACTCTCGTGGTTCTACTTTAAAGTACTTTGATCCGCCGCAACCGTTGTCGCAAACGCAATGCAAGGCTAATCTCCAGGTTGCTGTCACACATGCTCGGCACGTATGTAACCAGCATTTGTTTGGACTTCCACTAAGAATGAATGGCATGTATTGTACGCAGTCTAATCACGCGGGTTTGATTGTGCTATCACTCGTAATCTGATCACGCGTGCTTTAAACTTCTATTATGCAAAGCAAAACTTTGGAGCATAATCATGTGCATCGATCTCTCCTGCACTCCCTAACATTTGTTTATTACCAGTATGTAGTATTTCTAGTGTAGTACCTTTGCCTAAACTACCAAATGAATAATAAAACGAGTTTCATTCCCCTCCAATCTAAAGAGCAAACAAATTTTTCGCTCGCAACTTTGTTAATGAATATACAGGAACAGTACACTAAGACAAATAATCAGTAAAAGCATTTCACACGACCTTTTTCTCTCTCAGACAAGAAGGATTTCGATTCGCAAAATACACTCACTGGTTAAGCCACAATAGAAGTTGTTCGTCATGTTCTCGTCTAAACATCTTGTGGTCTGTATAGTTTTCGGCGCCTTCGTCGCTATCCTGAACCATTTCTGAAATTTTCTCCTTGACTTCCATCTGAAAGTCGGACGGAAGAGGTGTCCTTAACTCCAGCGATTGTGCAACTCGCGAAGCAACGCAGAAACGTCTGAACCAGGCCCACTCGTGCCCGTCCGCACAACATGGAAGAGCATCGAGGCCAAGGTCACAGGCAAACGCGACAAGAACCTGTGGAAGAACAAAACAAGGCAATGAGAAAACTGAATAAAAAATACTTACACCTGCCGTAATTTTGCCTGCTTGTTAACTTCTACTAAATGAGATAATCGATTTGTCTTTTTATAAACAGGATCACCACCTTTACGGTACATACGACACAACTCTCACATATCGAAGACAATAACTCACTTTGAAAAAGTCGCTATGAAAAAGGTGTTTGCCTCCTCTGACAAGCTGTTCCTCGTACTCGTACTGTCTTCGTAAAGTGTCCGGAAGTCCTCGGATTAGTTTTCCCAGTGCCGAGGACGCAACAGCCTGAGGAAATAAATAAGAATCAAGAGCCTTTCCAACACACGCCCAAGAACACCCAACATCTAGTAAATTACATTATTATGTTATAGAACGACGTTACTCAAAAAAGTATACGAGATTGTTGTGTAGTAGAGACACATCTGTATTACGGACTGTACAGTTGGTCCTAGAGATACGAAACACCTTTCTATTAAAGGACTGTTCCGTTGTACTTAAGAGCCGTTGTGCTTTAGAATACGAACAATTCTGCAAAGTGAACATGTGGGTCTGTTCGTTTGGAGTCCGCGTTGACTGTATTTGAATCAATGTGATAATCTAAATAAGTTCAGTTTCATTTCAGTACAGTTTGGTCGAACGTCAGCTCGAGCCATATGAAATGTAATACGCCATTTGCACGGTGACGTCATTTTACCACTATGACCAGAATCCTTCAGCGTTTGCTTTCTAGTTTTGTAAACCTCGCTGGGATTGCCAAATTTAAATATGAAAGGAAAAACGAAAAGGTGGTAGTACTAAAATGACGCTGTCATGCCTGTTAAGAAGGAACATATAAGCCCAAGCAAGGAGCAAAACCAATGGAAATCAGTCCAAATGGTCACTGGACCTTTGCCAATTGAATGTACCAAATGTTTCCGTATTTAAAAGTTGGTCTGAGAAAACAGTCGACATTTCGCGACGCCATCAATGCGATCCACGCGAAATGACATCCGAGAAGCAAACGCAGAAATTCCATAGGACGAATCACTACTGAGATCTGGGTGGTGCTTCTAATCGCGCTCGTCAGAAACATCTTAATCTGGTGTTCCTGTGGCACTTAGGCAGAAATCTTCGAGCTATCACGGGCAACTACAAATAAGTTGCCCCTATTAATTTTATCAGGGGCACCTCGGCAGGGAAACTGGACTCCTTTCGACTTGATTTCGTTTCCGTAAGTTTTCCGTAAGTGACCAACGCGGATCCGTAATCAATGATTACCTCTAGCTTAATATTATTATCAAGGCTGGAATGGGATACTTTTTGGAATGCAAGGGTTAGTCACCACTACCTACCGTGCTCATACGCTGGTCACTGTTCTGCTTTAGTTTAATGAGTGGTTGATCGTACGTGAGGTTGTATCCGAAAAGGCTGGGTACGTCAATCGATGGTCCCACTTCTGACAGCACAAGTTTTCTCAACCGGCTTAGCGCCCACGTTCTTTGGCCAGCGGAGAGAGTGTTGAGTTGTGCACATGCGGATAACGATGAAGCCAGGCGAGGGATCTGGGCTGTATCGCCAAGCGTTTCCAGTTTAAAATCTGCAGAAAATCAAAACATCATGTTGTTTTGTCAAGTACTGATTAAATCAGTTTTAATACCTGAAATATCTGTTGGGGGTCAATTTTGGGTGATCGCCGACACACACAGCGGTTGAGCAACTCATCCAACTTTACAATAAAGTGTCTCTACAAAAATGTCCTTAACGTATGAGTTAGGCAGAATATTCTACTACAGAGATTAAGCAGCGATGGATTTTGCAACGACACGAAAAAAGAACGACGCCAGTATCAAATCATCTAAACAGAACCAGCTTGGACAATGAAAGATTTATCAAGCGAACGAGAGAATAGCGGGAAGTCCAGAACGGGCAAGGGCGGCCCATCTAGTTTACTTGGGTGCAGTAGCCAATCAGAAAACAGGACTCATCTTTCCCACTCGCGGAAGCAGCCATGTGTTAGGGGTTTCTTCGACGGGGACAGCTCCTCTAGCGAGAGTACTCCAGGACTCTGACAAAGCTTTGATACTTTCTTCCTTTAATTACTGGCGGCAACACAAACGTCTACAGCTCAGTTTCTTACAACAGCTAATCACTCTCTACTAACCATCCAACTATACAACTTATATAAGCATAACGCAGGTACGTTTAGGCTTGCTGATCATGAGAGTTACGAAAGCTATTCCGAATGACTTCTAACGAATTTCCCGTTGTTAACAAAAGTGGAATAAACAATCCTACAAGAGAACCAATGAAAGCTCGACAGCTAAATCCACGAGGCTAAACCTTAAACCAAAACAGGAACTCTGATGTAGGTAATAATCAAGGTCAGCAATAGTCCCAAAACGTACCCACTTGAAAACTGACAATCAAACTTAATTAAACCCCAAGCTTGATGACACTTCTGTCGACAAACCCATTAAAAAAGTAATAACACTCAAAAACCTGTTAACGCATATATTGGTTAACCTTGATTCTCAAACCCAAACATAACGAAACTTAAATCACGAGAAGAACAAAGAACAAACAGAACTGTCATCAAAAATCCTTATGATAATAATATCAAAAATAACCACAAGACTACTTCATAACACATGCAATAATAACCGTTGTAACTCTGTAATTGATACTCCACAGAGTCAATTTATTTAATCTTCAGAGAGTCAAGTATAAAAATAAATAATAAAAATGCCCTTTATTTGAGTGTCAATGTATTTAGGACGGAAGTACTAATTGGGGACACTATATTTTACATCTCCAACTGGAGACGAGACCGCCATTTCACGTGATTATCCGAGCCACGCGAAGCTCTAGCCGCTTGCAGGGCAAGACAGTACCTTTATTTCTCAGTTACTTTAAGACCCTGAGTATTGGTCCGGCCCCGGGAATTGAACCCGCGACCTCCCGCTCTGCATTCAAGCACTCTGCCGACTAAGGTAATCCTGCCACGTGAAATAACCAGTACGAATTTTATGGCAGTCAATAAAAGACACACGTTTAAAAAAAGGAGCGATGCTAATTTTCTAATAATATCAGATCATAAGTTGACTTAGAGCTTAATTTACCGACCTCGAGCAAGCCTGCATTATAAGACTGAGTTGCTAGAATTGAGAGAGAGTCTACTACAAAAAAAAAACGTTCTTACCCAGAAGACAGCGAGCCAAGTCAATAGAAGGCCTCGACTGCAAGGCTCTGTCCGATAATACGTCACAAGGAGCGGCAGCTGGGGGGATTGGATACACTGTGAAACGCCAGCCCCAACCATTTACTGAGCTGTCACTGACAAACTTCCAGCGGAGTTCGTCTCCACTCATGCGCAGTTCACTCGACCAATCAGACCACTCACGGCCAGAACGAACAGAGACAACACGTCCAGTGCTGTCCATAATGGTTAGCGGATCATGCCTGAAAGAAACATTTCGTTATTAGTGGTAATCCTATGAACCGAATACTACCTAGGCGATGATTGGTCATGACCATGTGACAGAAGAATCGTTTTTTTTTTTGTTTTGTGAACGGTCTTTTAACTGTTCTCACATGATACGAGATTATTCCGGACGGGGCGTAAAATTAAACGCCTTGGAAAAGGTTTAACAAGTGCACAAGGCGTATTTTCTGTTCATGTTTGTCTTTGCGGTATTTCCGTCGAGTCGATCAGAAATCCGAAGGTTCTTAACATTTTGAGGACACTTGTGATCTATAATCGAACAGTCGCACCATTAAATGGAATCTGTCAAAAAGACAGGATATGCGCTAGAAGGTAAAGGACTTCAGGGATGGGACCCCCTAAGATGGCATGAACGTTGTGGCTAGGCTCGACTTGTTCTATATGGTGTCAAACATCCTTTCAGTGGTAAAACTGGTTCCATCTCATTCAAATTATTTTGCCATTTCTGATTGGCTATAATACCCCAGGGGATTCTTCATGACCAGCTGGCGCTGACCAAAGTTGAAAGATGCGGAAATATACTATCGACACGACGGTATATTGCCAAAAATATACGATCGCAAGTTTGCTTCCGGGAAGCGGCGCGGTAACCTAGCTGTTTTGATGAGCTCAGAAATCAAGAAAATGGCGGAAGGCACCACGGCCGTCCGAAGACGAAATAGCAGAACTACAAACTAAAACTGAACTAAACTAATACAAGAATACGAGTCTAGAAGGAGGTAAGGATGTTAAGAACTTAGAAATATTTTGAATGAATGATAAAAAAAAAATAAAAATAACAATAACAATAAAATAATAACAGTAACATTGATCGGCCTTTATATGATATGAAGAGTTGTGCAGATCTCGGAGGCTTTTATGTACCCTTCTCTTTCTGCATCGATCTTCTCGATTCTTACTCAGCCTCATTCAATAATTTTTAAATATTTACAACACAGCTGAGGAAATGAAGGTAGCTTGGAAGTTACCTTCTCTCAGTTGAACTTTGTTTGTCAAATTCGACTCTGAGTCCCTCCGCCCCTGGTATCTTGACCACTCCAGTGGTGTTAGTATCGTCTGTGTACGGATGGCTACTCTCCTGTACCACGGGTTGGAAGTTACTGTGTATGCTGCTGTTATCTGTGGCCACGTCCTCTAGCTCTGTGATGCACAGCTCAAGAAGCATCGAAGCTATCTGCAAGTCAAAGTAGTAGTTTTCATCACAATTTCCTGAAGCAATACTGTAGCGGACACTTAGAATGGCGGGGAATGCGAACATAAAGCTAATTCAAGAAAGGTTGCTTCGGACATTGGGAATAGCCCATTTTCAGTTACAGTTGGAAATGAGGCTGGAGTTGACCTTGTTTTGATACAACCCTGCTTGCTTTATTATGTAAATCATGTTTTTGTTATTCTAAATAGTATTTTTTAAGCAAAATTTACATTAGAAAAGGAAGGAGGTCTGTATCAAAACAAGGTCACCCTCAGCCTCACGTTCACTAAAAGGCTAGGACACCAAGCCCACAACTGTAAAATGGCCTATTGCGCAGTGGGCACATATTGATTGGTGTTCACTGAAGCAAATAACGGCAGTGAGTTCCGTATGCCCAAATGGCCAATGGCCAACTATTGTTAATTCCCAGTACCCAAAGCAACCTTTATTGAATCAGCTATGTACGAAAAGAGTCAGTAAATCTGTTTTTTGTTTTTGCTTGCCTGTTTTCAGCTCTGAGGGCCCTTAAGGGTTCTATAACAGGGGTCAGATTTCGCGGTTAAATTACGTTATCAATGAATGACTCACTTCTGGTTTTGTTTGTGCCAAAGCCCTTAGGACTTCAGACAACACCTCTCTACCGTTTTCACCAGCTCTATCAGCTACAGCAAGCTTCAACAGCTCCACCAGAAGTCGCGAGTCATCTTGACCAAGGCTGATGGTGAACTCGTCCACTCCATCGATAAACGACTTCCGAGAACAACTCGCCACTGCTGTTAAGGTAGCGTCATCGAGGGAGGCTTCCGAACCAGAACCCAAGGACACGGCGTCATCATCTGTATCTGAAGGTTTGGAGTCGCCTCGAATGAAGGAATGCGGATCCATAAGCGATCGAACTACAGCATCACGCGAGTAAATAATTTGCAGGGCAGTCAAAATGTGGCCAAGCGCCTGCTGGCGTTCGTAATTAGAATTAAGCGAAAGCACGATTTTTGCCAAAGAAGGTCTGTGTCTGTGTTCCCCATACTCGTTGCTTTCTGCTTCGGCTGCAGCACTCTGCTCTTGGGAGTCTGGGCTGAGGCAAGACGCCCCCAGTGGATCTCGGGAAGTAGGAAACATGACAGGCTCGTGCGTTGCGGGCGCCGGGAAGTCAGACTCGGCCCAGGCCATACTATGAGAGGAGCCACACGCAACTCGATTGATTCTAAAATCTTCTAGTCCTAAGACCAGCTGTGGGCGGCGATTTACCGTTGTCGTACCATTCCCTTGTTGACCGTGGTCATTGTCACCCCATGCAAAAACCTTGCGTCAAAACAGAAAAAAAAGACATTTTAATATGTAACTAATAGAGCATGCTATCGATGATGACATTTCGATGACTAAACTACTGTCGGTCATTTTCGACTTTTCTACGAAAACGTTTTGTATGAGTTTTGAGTTTGTCGCCTGGTGTCCGTCAAAAAAATCAGGACCAAAACAAGTCAGTTCCCTCTATCTCGTTCAGTATGTTGACAACGGCTAATACTATTATTTATGACGTTCTTTTGAGTAGTATTGTTATAACAAGAGGTTAGTCATCTTCTACCGTGTGGCTTCAACCTTAAAATCTGATACTGAGACCCTACAGTGTGACCTGCTATTGAGCTAAGCTTCCAAATAATGCTGCTCACGTTTCAGCTCAAAGTGCATGTACTTTTATTTTACGAGTCTATCAAAGCTGCCAATCAGTACTCTCTCGTAATGCTAATTTTTATTCTTGCCTGTCAATGCACCGCCGCCAAGCAAGTTTCACTAGGGAAGGTGGTATCTACGGATTAGGAATAAATCATAGATTTCACTCACTTGTCCTTGTTCTGTAACAGCCAGACAGTGTAAAGCTCCCACAGCAACGTCCACAACTTTCTTGTCTTTAAGACCTTCCACCACTTGAGGCTTACGGACATGGGAGTCGTTGCCGTGGCCAAGGCGGAAGTAATCGCCCTTACCCCTACAAAAATGTAACACGGGTACTAAGTGTGTCTGATATTGCATAGCTCTCTTCGGTCATGATGGTTACCATCTAAGAGTTCAAGACGAACTGCTGCTAGCTAGCCGCAATAAAGTAAATATGCCGAGTTGGAGAAAAAAACAAAACAAACAAAAAAAAACTTCGTTTTACTAGGTATGTTAGCCAGAGGAAATGATGAATAATTTAGTACATGATATAAAGTTCAATATCCTTCTTGTAGTTTGTTGAGTAGGTAGAAGGAAATTTATCACCTAAAGCTTTGAATCTCGTCGTACAACAAATCTCACTATTTAGTCAGAACAGAGCCTGGTCAATCTAAAGATTCATTATCACTGTTCGACATTAAAAAGGCAGGGGCCCTCTACTTTAGCACTTGTTGATGGAAAAAAACATGCGTCATTGACTTTAGAGTACAGTACCGGATGGATATATTATACCCGACGCAAATTCAGAGTATAAAACGCAAAGCACGAAAATTTGCACTAAAATTTACAACTCATTTCCTTTCCATACCAGGTCCATACTTGTCCGGAGTTTGTGAGCGCGAGAGAGAATTGGGCACCACACAGAACCTTACAAACACCCTGTCCTTTGAGTTTCTCTACTACATGGGGTACACTGCAGCCCTCACTTCCACCTCGCCCCAGCTTTCCAAAGTCTCCATCTCCCCACGACCAAACGCAACCGTCGCTGGTGAGCGCGAGGGTCTGGGCGTCACGGCTTCCACAGGCAACGTCTATTGCATGCTGATTTGACAGAGAGCGAACCTGAAAATAACCCAGTAAAGTGTAAATTGAGTAATATCAGAAATGTATCGCCTGTGGAAAATCCTGAAATTACTAAGGTATAAACCGTAATACTATGCTACACCTCGCTTCTTCGAAGTAATATACAGCTATTCACAGCAAGACAGAGTTATGGACCACTAAAAAGAGATCTTCACCGTTATATAGTGACGATGGCTTTATTATTCTCTCCATTAAGAAAAAATGGTTATTTAGTAACAGTTACAATCAACGTAATCGACGCAAAAAGGCAAATCAAAGTAAGAATCTAAATTTAGGCATATCTTCACAGCACGACTCTAAAAGGTAGCCTTCAAATAAGCTACAGTCTTTACAGTTGTACTTCGTAATAGTTTGAGGGAGTAAGCCGAACGGCTCTGTATACAAAAGAAGGGTGCTGCCGTTCCCATTTGCGGCACACCTTACCTGTTTGGGCCTTAATTGTGTTTGGTTGTCTCCATGCCCCAGACGGCCATATTCACCAAGGCCCCAGGTAAAGAGTTCACCCGTAGACATGACAGCTGCACTGTGTGAACTGCCGCAAGAAATCTCTTGAACAAACTTGCTTTTAAGCGCCTCAACAAGCTGAGGTCGGTCGTAATTTCTGGGGTGCAAAATAAAAAGAAATCTTCTTTGAAACTAGAAAGAGTGGTAACGAAGCAGTAACTAAATAAGAATTAAGAAACAGGGTGAGATCAAGGCGTGCCTTTCGTGAGAAGCTGAAGACTTAAAAAAACTACTGTATCCAACAACTTATGTGCTAGTTGTCCGGGCCGTGTTAAAGAGTACGTTAACCCCGTGGTCACTAATCAAAAAAATAAATAAATGAACGAAAGCACGTAAACATTAATCGATCAATCACTCAGTCAACCAACCAACTAACCAATCAACCAATCAGTCAATCAATCAATCAATCAATCAATCAATCAGTTAATCAGTGGAGCAATCATTGCAGTTTACGAGAGGGTTAGCAAAAGAAAAAACTCAATGCACTGATTCCTAACAGCAACAAAAATAACCTGTCAATTGAAAAAAATGACAAACAGTACGCTAAGTGTTTAACCTTTCTCGTATACTATATACTAACGTCGTTTCTTACATTTTATTGCCATGTCCAAGTTTTCCATCTTCTCCTTCTCCCCAAGAGAACAGTTTTCCTTCGATCGTGATGGCCATGGCATGTCGTCCCCCAGAATGCACTGCAACCTTCTTTACCACGAACGGACTTAAAGTGTCAATCTGTCGGGGCACAAGCACGTTACCGGATATGGGTCCCAGGCCTAAACGGCCGTTAGTGGACTCTCCACAAGCGAACACTTTGCCTTCCAAGGTTACAGCGAACAAACTTTTTGAGCCCCCACTGACTTGCTTGACTTTAAGACTCGATAAAACGTCGGACACTGATGGCATCTTGATCTAAATAAAAAGGTTAAAAAGAGATAAAGTCATTTATCAAACATTTGTAAGTTTTTCAGTGTTTGGGAAGCTGATAGTTCTTCTCGAGTTCTATCAAGATGGAAAGAAGACGTCCTATCTGGTTTTAGTTGCTGTCAGAAATAAGCCAGTCACATCCTTCTAGTTAAGCCTGTCCTAGTCATTCACATAGTTTATTCGTTCACTATACAATATCCATCTCCATTTTTTCTTCATCTCCTCGCCAGTTTAAGCTGTCCCATTAAAGTACAAATCCCGTAATGTCCTTCATAAAAACTACTCACTTCATCTCCTATTTAAAACAGGTATGTTTTTCATTTTCCCGGCAGTGTCCTCTGTTAACTTAAGCAGTGTCCCATATTAACTTACACTTCCCATGTACCATTTCAATCCCCCAAGTTTACATACGCAGGCCCTTTACTACTCCAGCCGCAACCTACAACAGAGGTCAAAAAAACTTGGGACACTGTGGAAAAACCCTTCCAAGGGCTTCTTACAAAGCCCTCTGTCTGCTCCAAAGACAAATTTTTTGATCGGCTTTGCTTCATCTCTTCATCCACTCTTACCACTACAGGAATGTTGTGCCCCAAAATGGAATCATTTCTAACCAGTTTGTTCAAGATTAAACACTGTTTGTTATAAGAGTGGGAGGTCTTTAGTTTAAATAATATCACTGGGAAGGTCCCAACACTTTTGACCTCCATTGCATATTAGGCCAGTAACGTCACGTCGACCTACCTTGGATCCTTTCAGACCTCCCAACTGATCCTTATCATTAAGACCCCACACAAACACCTTGACTTGCCCTTCCGGTGTTGGTTCCACGGTGGTTGCAGGCTTTCTCCTCAGCGCTCTTCTCCGTCTGGCTGCTTCATCCTCTTCGTCTAACGCTAGGAAGGAAAAGCTGGCGGCCATATCATCTTCATCCGCTTTAGCACGAGCCGTCAGACTGATTCCATGAATCTTGCAATCGATACCACTACTCTTACACTGCCGGATGCCGATCTCTAAGAAGCGGTATTCCTGCAATGTAACAAAGTTAGCGAGTCAGGCCCCGTTTACTGTATATGGAACTCCTCGTTAGAAGAGTCACTCGCCTACCCAAGCTACCTTAGGCGAGCCAACTTTTCCTTCATTTCCTTACAAAGCGTGGCAAACTTTTACGTGGGAACAAAACGTGGGCTCGGCTAGAAGACGGGTCATCCTTTTTCGACGATAAGGTCACCCTTCAAGATGGCCCAACTTTTCTCCTTATAAACACTTTGACTCGCCCAGTCGGGCTAACTCGGTCAAGGCGAGACAATCAGAGCACGCGCGAGCGCTGCTGCCTCGGGCGAAGGGGTCAAATTTGTTCTCTCATAAATGTTTGCTTATGTTCACTCAGCTGGGAGGCAGACCCTCTTTTTCAGGACAGTTTTTCTACAAATCACAGACGACTTTGGGAGGAAAGGGTAGAACCTATTTTCAGTATTTAAATGAGAAACACAAAAACGCCACTCGCCTCTGGGGCGTCTTCGAGTAGGGTGACAATGGAATCCGTGGCACTGATATGAACAGTTTTAATTTCCTTCAGCATCTGAATGCTGTCCCCAGCTGAAATGACCACCACAGACGGCATGTAGCTACTGTCTGAAGGATCCACTTTCATGGTCAACCGTTGGATTAAAAGATCGGGATACAGCTCCATGCGTATCCAGTGCTGTTTAAGAGAAAACACAATAAATAATAAACTTCGCAAGTGAAAACAAGAGGTAACAAGCCTTTCCTTACATAGCTTCCGCCCAAGACGTTCTTTTGGCTTGTCACGCAATCCTTTGTGGGGAAGGAACGCGTGACGAAACCCTGAGAAAGTCTGTGTAGGAGGCTATCCCTTCTATTGATGACCTTAGCAGACTTTCCCCATCTCTCAGGTGTGGACTGCCACTGATAAATCAAGGAATAGGGTACGTCTGCGTCTCTGCCAAAATTCGGAACAACACACTTGTGCGAGTTCGGGGAAGATTTTGGCGACGGAGCCGCCATCGCACGAGAACATTCCTCGCGGGATGGCGTTCCGCCGTCGCCACCAAAATTTCCCCCGAACTCGCACAAGCGAGCCGGCTATCGGCACGATGACTTTTGGAGCAGACAGGTGCAGATTGTCCTGTATTATAGCTGTAATTTGACACTAACCTATGCATAAAATCCGATGCCGAATTAAAATGAAAAAGATGAGGAAGAAGGAGAAGAAAAGAAAAGATAAACGGAAAACGAAAAAACTAGAGTCTGCCTAGCCTGAGGAAATTGCTGACATTTCACGACCCCGCCAACGGGTTTCCTTCCTCGCGAAATGACGTCTGATAGCGTGTCGCTACCCAGATCTGGGGTAGTGCTTCTGATAGGTTGGTGTCTTCACGACACGTTGGCTCTTCCCTCAGGCTAGAGTTTGCCCTATACGTTTTTCCGCTTTTACCTTTCCCTGGGATCCTGCAGACTGCCAATACGACTCCGTACCATCAATCAATCTGCCCGCTTGGCTTTCACGCGAGGACACCGTAAGGTTCTTTACCAGCCGGTCCCATTCTTTGACGATATGCTCCGGGCCACTAAATCCCCCGGAAACTATCTTTTTCTTTCCCCGGCCCGCTTTTCCAGCGTTGACCGGGATGCTGCTTGGCTCCTCAAAGCGGTGGAAGGAATGGCGATGGTTACGGCGCAGTCTGAAGCAAGTGTCACAGTAGTTGAAATCTGGACATGACTTGCACTTGTAGCGAGGACCTTCGATCGGCTCCATATGACAGCCATCACACCTAAGACAAACAGTTCAAAGACGAGAGAGCGGTTTCCCATCGAGCATCATTGTTATAGGTAACGAAAGGATCGCTAATCCAGACTGTGTGTTAAGGGGGAGGGGGAAGGTACACGATAGGAGGCAGGGGGCGTTTATTCATAAATTGTGCTGAAAGAGGGGGGTTCATTCAGAACTTGTGATAAAGTGGGGGGAGGGGGGAGGGGCTTAATCAGACCTTGAAATGAGAGTCGAGGGAATAGTGCTCATTTTAAAAAGAACCGTGATTTACGCCGGCGACCTCTAATAACCATTCTGTTTTGCTATGTTAGTTAGCTGTACCGTTGAGGTTATTAGCCAAATATTCTGAAAAGAGAAGCCAGATTTTTTATGTGTTCTCATCAACACCCGGACATCGTCTGTTTCAAACCACCCACCTTATGCGAGGATGTGTTGCAGGTACGACTTCCATCTCAGCGATTAGCCCAGTCCAGTTGGTTTGCTGTGGGAAGTCTACCTTGACATCTTTACCGTTTGGACTGATAGACACCACAGTCCCCACGCTGCCATGGTTCACAGATCCCCACTTGTATTTGGGCGTGGTCACGGAGGCTTTGACCCGTACACGGTCACCAACTTTGATCAGCTCACGCCGGGCTGCAAAAGAGCAAAATCGTGAGATTTTATAATTATCTGAATCTCACAACGAAACTGCAATCCTGCATCCTGGTATATCAAAGTCTCACAATCTTTTAAAACACAGAGAGTCTTACCATAGGAGTCGTGTCCTAACAGTTCCACATGCACGTATCTCACCCAGTAAGTTCCGTTCTTTTTCTGCCAATCACCTTGTACGTTTAGATCATGAAGACCATCACGGTCGAGCTGAAATAAACGACACAAAGACTAAACCATTTCACTCAACGAGTCAGATATGGAGACTGCTGGCAGATACTATTCTGCCGCATGGTGAGTCGGGTGAGGAAGGGGGCAGGACTTAGTGGATTACAGGAAACTGAAGTTTCAATGCCTAACGTTACTGTTAAAAAAGTACCATTACTTGACCATTATTTACTGGACTATTATTTATGGGATTTAATTGATGTGGAGACATCAGACATGGGCTGGTTTTCATAAAATTATCCAGTCATAATCGTCCAAAAGACCAAGGGGATGAAGGCGATCCAGATTATCATAGGGAAATCCGTCAGGTTTAAGTCCTAAAATGTAATGGTATAAATCTAGCGATACCAACACCATGAGCATGCTTTCGAGAAGAACAGAAGCACGTACCTTGATAACCCGCCCTACGTCTCCCTCGTGCACCTCCTCGTAAGTTCTACAGCAGCGCACCATCATGCCCACCTGTATGTTGTCTCGAACATACCGCGCGTATTCATCGTTACTTGACAGATCACTGCGCCGCTTGAACTCAGTAGGCAGAGCAAACGTCTCGCCTTCACTTGAGCTACTATCTGTGTCGCTGGTGGACAATGCATCGCTGTCATCATCATCATCATCATCACCGTCTGAGGAGTCACCGCTGGATGATAACTCTGGTGGCGCTTCTTGTCGGTCTGGGCGCTCAGGAACCTGTCAATCGAAGTGCAATAATAACAAAAAATAGTAAATATCCACCGCTTTCAGTCACTGACTCGCTATTATAGCCAAGATCAGTTTTGCTTCCCTAAAACAGGATTCAGAAATTTAAGGAAATATCGTCAAACGACCTTGTCACCTGACACAGGGTTCAACTTTGTGTTTATTACTTGGTGTTACTGTAGCGTGCCATATTTAATATTGAAGTACGCCACTCATCAGGTTACAGGTTGACTTTAGGAGACTGCGGGCGTTCTAGCTCTTCTCGTCTCGATCTAGCTCTGATCACTAGATGAGTAGACCTTTACACGTTTTTTTTTTAACTTTTGACGAGGACAAGTTAGGGAAAATCTGTCAACTCCGCTGGAAAAAGCGCCTTTAAATTAGTAAAACTGCCAAATTAGAAAGTGATTTGTTGAAAAATAACGAAGATGTAGTTCCTCAAAGTCGTAAGATTTCAAGGGCGTTTGTATGGTGGGGAGCAAAAATTTGCCCCCCACCATACAAACATCTGCAAATTTTCGCAATGCGGAGCTCTATCTTCGGACGCTTGAGACGTGTCACTTTCAACCTTGCCAATTTTACTTACTTTAAGGCGCTCTTTCCAGTGGTGTTGACGGATTTTCCCTATTGGGTCCATATCAAAAGTTGAAAAAACCATGGCAGGGTCTATTGCTTCAGGGTTAAAAAAAAAACAACAGACGGGTCCTCGCCTAGCCTAGCCTAAGCCAAGAATGTTTCAACAGTTTAATTAAATTCCTTTTCCTATAAAAAAGTTACCATTATCGCCTTGATTATTATTTATGACCAAATCATTCACCTCAATATCAGGATGGTCAATAAGCCAAGCTACAACTAACTCGGCCCTGGGCTCCTCCTCATCCGCCAGTTCTTTCAGTGCATACTCCGCACGGCTTCTAGCGAATCCCATTTCTACCAGTTGTTGCACCAACGGTGGGGGAGGGGGTGGAGTGGGTTTCCTTGTTCTGGCCTTCTTTTTCTGCAAATGCTTTGATTTGGAAGTTTTCCTGGAGGTGGAGGACTGGGGTGGAGGCCTCTCTTGCTCGGGTCCAGTCTCTGACACAACTGGTGTTGGAGGCTCGGCTGGGCGGCTTGCCTCGTTGGCAAGGAATTGACAAGCAGCAAGGGCTGCGGCCTAATTCATAGGTAAAATCAAACAGATTGAGTAACACAAGAGACGGATACTTTAGTGACTATCAAAGCAAGAGTACTATGATACTTATCAAGGTGGCAAGCCAAACATAACAAACTAGAAACTTAAAGTGGCCTAGGAAACCACTATGTTCCAAAAAACAACTTCTACCATGCCTACATGTTACTGCCTTCTAACCAAATCCGTTTCGTCTCTCCTTTCATCTTTTAATTCAGTAATCCCAGCGAGGTTTAAATAAGAAAGATATAATTTGCACAAGAAAGGGATCTGGAAGTGATAACAGAATGACGTCATCGTGTAAATGGACTTTTAGCTCCCTCAGTAAATTAAGGAGATACGTAATGCAGCTGTACGCTATTAGTCTGGACGAAATCCTACGAGGTGGCCATTCAAATGTGACATCTTGAGTTTTCTTTTCTTGTGGAATTTTTTTTTCCCCAGCATTTTACAGAATGGACAATTGAGATAATTCTGCAACACTTGGGGCCGGTTTTATACGGAATTTAGCCAGTGTTAAACAAAATCGCGTTCTTATACATTTTCAATTTGTCCAACACTTTTATGTGATCACCGTTCATATCGTGAACACTTTCATGAAAGCATATAGCGAAGAGTAGAAAGGCACTGATCTTCTTAAAATAACTTACTAAGGAAGAGATTTGGAGGTCCAAAGATTTCTTAACCGCGGCAAAAGTTACACTTCATTCAAATAACCGATCCTTGGTGTTTAAAGGATACAGTCAACTCTCTCTAAGACGGACACCTTTGGGAACGACACTTAGTGTCCATCTTATAGAGAGTCAAATAAAGAAAGAAAAGAAAGGGACCAACTCTAGGTGTCCGTTTTACAGAGGGGTCCTCTAAGAGAGAGAGAGTCGACTGTAAATGCTTAAGGCTGAAATGTACCTCTAACTCTTCCCTATCGAAGAGGGCCTTGATAGGTGAAGGTTTGATAGCAGAACACATAAGTTGCTGCAAGGAGAATGTGCTGCTGCCACCATCTGAGCTCTCAGCCTGATGATTAAGGATTTGTCTCAAGTTGTCCTGCCTACTACAGAGCACACGAGCAGCCTTCAGAAGACCAAGGGTAATCTGCTGCTGTCTAAGCAATGCCGTGTCCACATCTTCGCCTAAACAGAAACAAAATGAAATAAAGTTGAACCTTCATTAAGCGGCCACTCTCGCAGTAACGGCAAAGGGCCGCATTATATCCAACGTTGCAAACACCAAAAGTGGAATTTGAAAACTGTTAGGCTAACAAGTTTTTTAAAAAACTATATTATTGATCCATTTCAATCTTCTTTGAACTTGTCCATCCGTGACTTCGAGTACAACAAGAGAGCACTGTTAACTCAATCTTCGGTTGTTGTTCAGCGTGCTTTAAAAGCGACACTCAGAGAAAGGCAGTTTTCCCTATCATCGTATACTTACCACCCATTTTAGGGGGGATGAGTGGTCTAACAGGGGGACACCTCGCAGATCCCTCCACTCCATCCTCTCCTGGCACTGCTGGCAGCTGGAAGTCCTCTTGATCTCTTTCCACAGTTTTCTTCCCTGTCCCAGCCAGTCTCACAAGTGAAGCCCAGATCCCCAATGACGCATCCGACATTGGAAGATTATCCGCTGAAAACGGGATAACCGGGACCTAACAAGAAAATGTTTTGCAAAATATCGCAAACCTTAAATGAACAATACGCAAATTAACCTTTTTAACACCAATGAAATGGGGGGCACCAATGAAATGCTAGTATTCAACTAAGAACTAAAGTCACGCTTCAGGCAATTCTCTATTGATCATTCTTAATATTCTTTTCAAAAATTTAACCTGAGAAAACAGCCGACATTTCGCGACGTCACCAATGGTTTCCCTGCAAAATACAGTGACGTCTGAGGAACAAGCGCAGAAATTCTAATGACGCGTTGCTACACAGTTTGGGTAGTGCTTCTGATTGGTTGAAAATTTCCTTCATAATCATCCAATAGGAAGCACTACTAAGAACTAGGTAGTGACGCATCATAAGAATGAAATTTCTGCGCTTGTTCCTATAAGAAGTCATTTCACGGGTAAACCAGACTCGCAGTGGTTGCGTCAAGAAATGTCCGCGGTTTTCTCACACTAGAAAAATTTTTAACAGCTGGTTGTCCTGTGTTGTTCGTTTCTGCCCCACAGGTGACGCCAAATGTCGACCAAAATGTTTCTTTTAAGTTATATCCTTTGAAGGCGGTGTTGAGTGTTTCTGTTTCAAGTTCACTTAAGATAACTTTATTCTTGGATTCCATCGTATTCAGGAAGCACCTTAAGCTTACTTGCTGACAGAAAGCAGCACCACGCAATCCCTCTAAATTTAATGGTTTGATGTATCAAATCTACATTATTTCTGTAATTTGAGATGTAAGGTTCTATGTTTAAGTAGCGCTTGAATTAAATACAGAAAATTAGTTGTGTGTCAAACGTTCGTGGTGAACTCTTGGCAACGAACCACAACATTTGGCGCTCAGTTATTTCCTTACCGGTTTAACCTGTGATATCGAGCATATCTTAGCCTTCTGTTGACCTTCACACTGCACAGTAACTTTTCCATTGGGAGCGATTCTACAAACTGTCCCAGATCCCCACTCCTTATGCTGCACCAGTCCCCCAAGCCTAGGCCTGCTGTCCACACCACCGATAACCGCTAACACGGCCATCACTGGACCCTGGTTCACTGGCTCCTCTGTTGCCTTTTCAGAATCCTGCATTGAAGACAAAACAACACAGGATTCCTTAATTCCTTAGTGCTGGTTTTTAGTGTCATGTTACAAAATATAAATCCCAACAACCAAACATATAAAGTCAGCAACCAGAGAGATAAATAAAGAGAAATAAAGTCAAGGCTTTCACTGGCGGACAACCCTGGAAAGCAAAAGTATAAAAAACACACGATCCGCAAAGTTAAATTGGGCTGTCGTTAAGGCGGCAGTAACCAAAGCTTTCCGTTGACAAGAGTGAGCACTTTGACTTAAAGCAAACAGTCTCGCTAAGATTATAGTGCTACTAAACCCAAAAAGATTCTAGCCAAAAATTGCAGTAAATTACTAGTTCGATATCTAATTATAGAGACTTTTTTCGAACGCGAACATGGCCAAATTGCGCGCAAAATTATCGAAAAAATGCTTAACCTAAGTTTACAGTTTTTCATGGAGACGCCAAGTTGTGGACAAGATGCACTTGACATGATGAATTACAGGAAACGTGCAATTTCAGTACAAAAAACATAACAAAAGGCAAGAAACGCAAACCTGTGTGATTTGTTCTTCTCGAACTGACTCGTCTGATGTTACCATAGTAACGACACTTTTCAGCTGAGCACCGATAAACTCGTTCACTAATGGGTTCCAGGCCTCTAAAGTATGGAGCTTGCGTATTAGCGCCACTAACTCTTCCGCTACGGTACTACTGTATGTCGCTGAAACTGAGGCTGGGATTCTTGGCTTCCGCTTACTTTTACGACTTTTTTCTCCTGAAACGCACACATAAGAAAGATGTATGAGAAGTGTCCACTTATATTTTAAAGCTCTTAAACGTAACAAAATAGGAAACAACAACAACAACATACGACTGACACTCAATAAATCATGCAATCAATTTCCGGATTAGCGTACGTATGTACTCAACCCTCCAAGTTGCGACCATTTTAGTCGCCATGGCGCCTAAAATTTTGGAACTGGCGACTTGATTTGGAGAATAGTTGCCAAGCTGGCGACCATGAAGAATAGGTTCGTGTTGTGGCGTATTGAAACAGAAATGGTAATCACTTCTACTGAAATATGAAGAACATTTATTCTAGCTGATTTGAATTCCATTATTTTTTTACTTTTCCGTTGAAAAACATGCTAAATTGAAAACTTAAAAAAGTCTCAGAGCTAAGCGTTTTAAAAATGAACATCAATGAAACTTGACTTGCATTCGTTCGCCTAATAGCCTTCAGTCTGTTGCCTTGCACGTGACATTTTAACTTTTGACACGTGACAGATGGCACGCAATCGAAGCGCCTTGGTTGTCGACAGTGACGATTTCTTCGATATCTTAGGAATGCTTGTCTAGCCAAGTTCGGTGGTTTTTTAACTGAACAACATATTATAAATATTTTTGAATCAATACTGAAACAATCTAATAACATGAAGAGGGAAAGCTAAATTGGTGCAAATTCAACACAGAACATTATGCGATAACCGTAACATGTGAACCGTGCTGCGAGTTGAATCGCGGTTTTGTAAACAAAAGCGATAATTGTAAGCGAAACTAAACATCGCAAAACTGACAGCTTATGGTTGTTGCAAAAAATGTTTTTTTAAACACCTGTAGCGATGATAAAGGAAAGAGAAAATTTTTTTTATTTCGTAGGCGGCATTTTTGTTTGGGTTCCTTTCAACTGATTGGGAAAAACATTTTTCCCAGTACAACTCGTTGCGAAATTTTCACGCGTGCGATGTTATCTCTGTAAAGCAATGATTTCATTTAGAAAACTTGTCAATCTTCCTATACTCTCCTGCCTTTGTCAGGCTTTCGCAATGTCTAGCGATATTAAAAACGACCTTTTAAATCTCCCAAAATATTTGTTAGTTGGGGAAACAAGTTCATCATCAACAAAAGTCGCAAAAGAAATGCGAAACAAATATCAGAAAAAAATAGGTCGCCTATCAAGTTGCGACTGGGAAATTTTGAAAACATTAACAGAGGATGAGTTAAGTTCTGCTCTCATATACCAACTGGGGATTATATAGAAGGATTGAAGGCCCTAAAGACAAATGGAAATGGTAATTGTCTTTACAATTCCGTTTCAGTATTGATTCAAGGAGATGAATCTGCAACCCTTATTCTCAGACTATCAGTAACTAATGCCTTACACAATAAACGAGTAATTTATATGACAGTGCTGCATTTTAAGTTAAACTTGCTAACTGCTTTTGTTAATGACAATTTTGATATATTAAGTCATTAATATAATTTGGCGCCTAAAAATTTCCCCTGGCGACTAAACCCAAAGAGCTGATCGCCAAATGGCCACTGAACAAAAATTTTAACTTTGAGGGTTGGTACTACAAGAGAGTCCTTAGTAGCAGTGTGCGACAAGGTTTTTATTTGTGCACCAGGGGGATAAATATGTTCACATTTTCATCGCTCGTGGAAACAATTTCCGCGCCGGAGATATTTGGACAAATAGGACAAACTCAGAGAGGTTACAAAGCTGGTGTTGGTGTCCTTCGCAAAGGACAAAGGAGATCATGGAGAACGGAAAAAAATATTCAGTCTGATTGTCTGAAAAATATTCAAAGATGCCCCTCGACTACCTTTATGAAGAAATTCAACAAGAAAACTGGTCTTTCAAGACCAAAAAATTTGTCCATAATGGTGACAGTTCGTTAGAGTGAGACAAACATGCGAATTTTTTCCATGAACTTGTGCGTCTATCCGTATTGGCCATGTAAATAGAGGCCTTTAGATTCGAGGAGCGGGGGCGACTGTGAGGACGAGATAGACATCCTGAGCTACTAAGTATTGAGAAAATCTCCCTCTCGCAGTCATTCTCGTCTTAGAATTTACATATCTTTAACGCGAGATGCCTGCAAGGCGAAGGTTGACTGTACCTACCACCTACCAAAACAAGACCAAAACCAACTGGGTCAGAAAAGGGGATTAAAGTGAGATATGATTTTAGCCAGACGCAAAACAAACCTGAAGGAGGTTGAATAGGCAGACTTCCGTGACAAGTCATCAAGACTCTTCCAAGTAGAGCAAAAAGTTTAGCTACAACTTCAGACATCCTGGATGATTCCTTTGTTACATCCCATGAAGGCAGAACAGCTCTCAGCAACCGCATGGCAAGAATCTGTTGGTGGAAGCCGAGAATCAAGTTATCATTCGATGCAAATTTTTCTTCCTTTTCATTGGACGAGACCTGCCAATAACTGCCTACAAATAATGGTCTGCTCATGCGCAATATCGTCCAACTGTGTTTGGCTGCTGGCTGTATTTCGCTTTTCTCCTTCTTGAGATCGCTGTTGCGTGAAATAATTCGCAAATAATTGAAAAAAGACATGGTCATCGAATGATAAAACAATTATTGAACTCGGTTGCCGCCAAATGTCGTGATTTGTCAATGTCTCGCACATTAATTAACTGCTCACCACTGACAAATCACGATATCTTGCTCAACTTCATCCAATTATTATTAATTGCCGTTTTTTAAAATATTAAACAGCGAAAACAACAAACAAACTAAAAAAGAAAAAAAGTTCTCTGTATCCGTACATTACGATATGTTTAAAGACAGTACAAGCGGCTTAAAATTCAATATTCTGTATATAGTAATAACAAACGTTTCACTTCTTTTTCTCAAAAAATTACTTAGCATTCAGCAAATTTCCGAAACAGTTCAAAAGAGCATTTAAAAAGAATCCAAATAACTAATCATTGGTTTTAGAAAACTGGTGCACAATCCCGAAATATTTCACGGTGTTTGGATTTCTACGAAAACACCTTCTCTAGGGTTGGGTATAATAAATACAGGAGTTATTACCTGCCGAGGCAAATTGGCTGTAGACGCAGTAGGAAGTAGCGTTTCTTCGCCAGGAAGCGATCCCCTCACCACCCTGAGCAAAAGAGACACCCAATGAGGGGTACTGAGGGAGCAGCAAATGACCGGTGACACTGTAATACCCCGTATGAAACCAAGCTTGGCCCAGTCTCTGTGCTGTTGAGCCATAACAACGCTACTACCTTCGCCTTTTAAGGAAATAAAACAGAAAGCAATTGTCAGTGTTAGACGAGCCATTCCATTTTGACAAGGAGGAAGAGATTTACGGGCCTTATAGTAACTAGAGCCGAGATTGTCTTCTGATTATCCTTTGAAGACTGCTGGATACCTTTCCCATTGAAAAGCCGGGGCACGATCTCCAGTCTAACGGTTACATTTTAACATTTTCCCCAAAGATATTGCATCACTTTGTTTCTACAAGTAATAAAGTCAGAAGAATCAAAAGAGCAAATTAGTAGACTTACAAAGACGATAATCAAGTTGCCGAAAAGAGGGAACACTTAGCTCGGTGCATTTATCTTTTACCCAGAAAAAGAGAAGTTACTTAAAAAACGCAGAGTTCTTTCAAAGACTAACTTCGAGATGTCGGGATGTTGGATGGAGTGGAGTGTTTGATATGGGGTTTCAAAATGAACAATAATTACTGTAGAAATTCAACGTTAACGTTCGTAAACATTTGATTGTTATTACGGTCCGATTTTCAAACTTCCAATTTCTCATGGAGTATTCATTAGTTCGGAAATTATTTTGAAATAGGATCCCCTAAAGTTAATGAAGATAGACACTACCACCTGGTTTCAGCAGATACTAACCAGTTGTACTTGCATCCAGTAGATTACGCAAAAGACTGCTAACAGTTCTGACGCTTTCTATTTGCAAACTGTTGGCATGGAGACCACAGCCAATGGCCAGTGCTTGCAGTAAACACACACAAGAGTGACGTATCAGGACGGTGGGGTGGGTGGACTGGATTTCGGTCTTCTCTTTCTTTGAATCATCTGACAAAAAAGGAGAAACTCATTTGGGTACTTACCATTTACCTACCGCTGCACATGATGCCCGGGGAGATAAAACACTTAAGATAAAGAATATTACTTGGCAGATCAATATTTGCACAGTTCTTAAAGAAATCAAGAGTCAAAATTGTGCCTTAAGTGTCTGTTCTGTTCGACTAAAATAGTGACCTGGCAGGTCATATGAACATTTCACCCTTTAAGCCCTAAGAGAGATTAGCATCAAATTTCTCCCTGTAATACCAATGCTTTGTAAAACAGAGTGGTCATGAGAATTACGGACATGATTACACAAGACGAATTTCCTTGATATTTTATCAACTTCTCCCCACTACTTCTGCAGGAAATGAACAGGGGCAACATATGAGAATTCAAATTTTGATCTTACTCTTTAAAGAGCTAAAAGACCTACCTTTCATGGCTTCCTCCTCTTCTTCGCTGCTCTCTGGCACGGGAGGCGGTCCTGCCAGCTTTAGATCATACTTCCCTTCTTTGCCCATGCGGTATGAGTTGGTGCTGCCAGTGTCCCACTGAATACGCACCCAGCCATCTTCTCCGAGCTCCCCAATAACACGGCCCTCACTAGGTGGAGGTCCGTCCTGCGAAAAACACGGAGAGCAGTGCTGTTTACATTCAGTTAGAACAATCACCTAGAGAAACCTCTGTGTGTTTACCTGCGGACGTCAGTTTCGTTGCGCGTCTGGCAAAATCGTCGCATATCAAGATTTGTTTTGAGTAGTAACTCTACTGGCGAACTCAGCGCAACCGCAAAGACGACGGAAAGGAGTAAACCAAAAAGCAACAGGTTTAATAAGCAAAACAAAAACTTTGAACGTGCAGTACACTTTTCGGCGGATTTGTTTGCCGTCACTGCACGACTAGCATTGTCGACCTTGATTGGAATGGCAATCTGATCATCAATGGCGATCGTGGCGACTTCGATTTCCTCGGAAATACCCAAACAGAGGCTCAACCTATGCAGAGCTATTCTCTGTGAGACTGATCATCTCTTAAAGGGCAATTTTATTAGGAGATCATTTTGGCTTTGCGGTAATTAACCAGAACATAAAACATACGCACGACGGGTGGCTTTAGTTTGTTACTGGTTCTCTTCCTTGTGCCGAGATGTTTTTCCACTCCCCTGAGACGGAGAACAATTTTAAGGGAACGAAGTTTAACCACGAGAAGGACACCTTTAATGACCCATATTTGCTTTGTTTTATATCGCGCATGCTTTCATCGTCAAACAAACTGTTCCAAAACAAATACGACGATTCAGTAAACTCGGCAGCTTCTATAGGACCCTGGTTTATGCGTGTACCTGATCACCCCACTTCCAGTCTGGACCTCTCACCACACGAGTACCAATCTTCATTCTTTTGGCCATTTCAGGCCCGGTGATTGGTATAGTAGGAACCTTCTTTGTAGCTTTAGCTTCATCAATGATAGCGGCCAGGCTCGAGTCCTCTTCCTCTGCAGCTTCACAGGGTCCTGCCAGGCGCATGATTGTCTGAGTCAAGCCGATGGTTCCCGAGTTCAGTATGAGACTCATGTCACTCGCGTTATGCTGTGCGGTGAGAATACCCAACGTGGCCAAGAGGAACCTCGCCACAGGGAGGGCACCCAACGATAAGCCACCGTGAAAGTCATTAGGGGTAGAGTCAGGTTTTGATTCCGCTCTCTTAAAGGTATCGTCAGCAAAGATGATGGCTTCACGCAGTGTGTTGACAGCCCAACTGTTTATCCTGCTAAAAGCTCTTTCGAGGATGACACGATCGTAGGGTGGAATGAGACCAACATCAGCCGTGCAGTGCGGAACAGCGTTGCTAAAATGAATCAACATAACATCAACATGCAGAACATCAATAGGGACTTCAAGATACAACCACGCAAGGAAACGAAAACGTCAATAACAAAATACAGTGAAACCTGTATTAAGCGGACACCCTCTATTAAGCGGACAGTAGCCGAAGTACCCAAATTTATTTCCCTTATTTACTTTAAATGAAAGCTTTATTAAGCGGACACCTCTATTAAGCAGAAGCGGACAGCTAAAAAGTACCTGAAATAGTCATTTCTATTGTTTCCAACCTGTATTAAACGGACACTTGTCGATAATGATAATGATGAAAATGATAATAGGAAATATACAGAGAAGAATGTGGAGATCACACTAGCTGATATTCGAGTTAAAAGGGTTTGATACTTACTGCGCTTGCGAGTGAGTCAAGAGAAGACCTTGCCAACCACACAAAATCGAGTAACGAACGGACGGGATTAGATATTGTTTGGACACAAGAGAAAGAAGAGTTTCTGCTCCTTTCAGCCTACGTTGACCTCTCTCAAACTAGATGTATATAAAAAAAGAAAACAAAAAGAAGAAAAGAATGTAAAACAATTCATCACTAATTCATGAAGAGAACAACGGAATTGCTACCGTAAATGAGGTGTACAAACAGGACCTTAATTGCTAAGAACTTTATTAACACAAATTCTTGAGGAATTTCTGCTCATTTCACAACATGTATAGAGCTCTTGACACACTGTGCCATCCCACTTGCAGTCACTTAGAAGTCGTTCAAAAAACCTGGCAGTCCCTCGTTCCCTCGACTTACTTATCGGTGGCTGAACATCGGATAAAATACTAGTTAAACACACGCAAACCGTTCTCAGTTTAATGAAGGTCTCGCTACATCCACAAGACACGTGTTGAAATGCCCGTTTTAAGTTATTTCAATTTATGAGAGTAATGACGACATTATAATTCATAACGACTATGCGATGCGATTGCTGCTATTATGGAAACGACAATGATGATGACCTTTGATGATGATGATGATGGCGATGATGATGATGGCGATGATGATGATGATGATGATGATGATGATGATGATGATGATGATGATGATGATGATGATGATGATGATGATGATGATGATGATGATGATGATGATGATGATGATGATGATGATGACGACGACGACGAGGACGACAATGATGGTGCTGGTGGTAATGGTGGTGATGGTGGTGGTGGTGATAATGGGGTAATGGTGATGATGACAAAAAGTATAGAAAAAACAACAACAACAACAACACCCTTGTGTATATTACATAATTATCATATATTGCCGCTACTCGCCTAGAAAACGTCCAGGAAGGGAAACAGGGGAATTAAGTTCCGTAGAGTAGGCTATAAATAGCTGACAGAAAAGAAAACCTAAACCACATACTAACCTGCATGTGAAGACATTTTCGAAGCTTATCCACATCCACTGGCTCATCATGAAGGACGAAATCTTTAATGTGATTCATTAACAGTGTCTTTACAGAGGAGCCAATCATTCGCTCACGAAGCCACTTCACTTTACGGACACTTGATAGTGAGGTATTTAAAGCTGTGTGGTCCACCTGCAACAAAACAAGAATTTTAATATCATTAAAAATTAAAACGTCTCCTCCGCTTCTGTTCTGTATTACCGCAAGTAAAATCGATTATCTTTACCTATTTCTTTGTTCACATATTTATATGGCCCACCACAGATAAAAGCTCCAGCAAACTAACTGTTCAGATCTTATAAGGAGACTTGCGTGTGATTAAACTAATAGACCTATGCCTGATATACTGGAAAGCACCGAAAGGATTCAGAAGAGGCACCTTACACGAAATAATAGTGGACGTGGAAAGGAAAGTAGTTAACTTCACCATCAGATAACCCTTGGGAAATGGTACGATTATTCTATTGGCAATATGAAGAAAACTAGTGTACACAAGAGATACACATGGCTTTTCACCGCTACACAAAGTTGCATACTGCTTAACACGATAACGCAAAGCTATACAGGTTTAGTCACTACCATACAGTGTTACTTCCGCGTGTGGAGCTAAATTCCATCGGTGAGGTCACCATGGTAACAAATCAGCGTGCAGTTTTGCTTTGCTGCTGTTTATTGCAGAATAAGTTGCACAACTGAAAGGGGAAATTGAAAGTTTTGTTATATTGATTTTAAGAGTAAACACAGTTCTTTCGAAATTAGGTTACCTTTTGTTTACTCTTACGCTCAACATTTTCCTTTTCATTCACAGCTTTCTCCTCCAGGAGTTCAGCATCAGTATGAGCAATTTCTCCTCCTTCTCTAATGACGGGTTTTTCCTTTTCTTCTGTGTTCTTCTTTTTCTGGATCATCTGCTGAACAGTTCGGGCCCAGCGAGGTAGTGTGTTTCGTATCCTCAGTCGGGACAAAGTGGACACCTCACTGGACATTGCAGGGTGAAGCTCTGTGAAAAGGAACTGGCACCTCTCCAGCGCCGGGGAGCAGACCTCTTCGTACGAGCGAGACGATTCCTGATGAGCCTACAAAGTTCACATGTATCAGGGTGGTATGTTCATATGTGCAATTTAATTAAACGGAATCCGCCTATTAGGACTCTTTGCCAAAACAATAATAATAATAATATTAATAATAATGATGATGATGATGATGATGATCATGCTGCTGATGATGATAACTAAGGATCAGTATACTTAGCAACAGGGTACTAATTGAGGACAGTGGGAGGCGCCATTTGTACGTGTTCACCCGAGCCATGGGAAGGCCTAGCCTTTTTTTGCAGGGCAAAGGAAGGTACCCACGGCACTCAATTATTAAGAGGACGACCACCTTCACCTCTTTCGAACATCTGCTTGAGATGACCTTCACCTCTTGGTTGCCTGACTAGCTAAAGTCGAAATTAACCTTGAGCAGTCAACAAACCAATCGAAAACTACAGTAATCAATTCAATGATAATCCATGCAATTGGAGTCGGAGTACCGAGGACAACTTGTTAAGATCCCTGTTGCATCTTGGAAAAACGACGTCAAGTTTAGAAAAAGGAGGAGCCCCAGGCTCATAATACGAATGCAACTCACCCTCAACAGCGCACACTTTGTCTGGTACACGACTTTGAGGACTTCACTGACAGGTCTGGGTATGATAATGGGAGGGGTGTGTGATAAAAAACTCTCTGAAGTAGAGCTTGGTACATCCAGAGGCGACTCTAAAGCAGGCGTGGATGGCGAGTAAACGTCGCCATCTAATACGCTAAGGGCAGCATTCCCTACAAAACAAGAAAAGTGTCATGGTACAATTGAGAAGACATATTATCTACTTGTCGAACCCCAAATTTTACATGAACTAGTGTTTTCGAATGTTCCTGGGAGGACTTAGAGCATCTAAAAACACTACCTTATGTTGGGGCAAACAGAGTGTATTATAGGGGATTCGAGAATGGTCAATGAGTTAGGAGAGGTTACACAGATCTCTCGCATTAAAGGGTCTGGCCCAGAACTGGTTACATCCTGTTGTCTGTCTTTCTGTTGATCTGACTGTCTGTCTGTGATTATCTTAATGTCCGTTTAGATAGATGTCCATCGAATCAATCAGTCTATTATGCAGAGAGATCCTGCATAGCGCAAGGCGACGAAAGTCTATCCGGTTTCTGGCACAACTTCAAAATGGCCAGCAGAAGTGATAGCGCCCACAAACAGTCGAATGAAGTGACCCAAACCACACCAATCCAATCTTACACACAACCTCGGCCCAAAAAGGCCAATGAATGCTAAGGAAACAGACAAAGGAGGATTCAGTGCCGATTATAGGGACTGTCTAAGTTGTTAGCCATTTTACCAAGTTCTTGATGTTTTAAGAGGCAAGCCATGAGCATCCTTCCGACTTTCTCCACAGGGTGATCTGCAGGGAACTCAATTGGCAAAACAATTCGTTTTTGTTTACAGAATCGCTCAGTGGCGGCTAGAAATTTCAAGGCAGTATCATCCTCCACTTTACTTTCAGCCAGGGCCTGTAAAAACGGTTTAGCGGGATCACCATGCGAGTTCTGTTGAGCGAAAGGTTCAGTCTTGTCTTCTGAAGATTCCTTCTCCTTTCTTCAAGATGAAATAAATAAGAGATACGTTTAGAACGGGATGAAGTGAAGGGTGCCAAAATTACCTTTGTACATTTAGGTGATGGGATCTACTCCTGTTAAGAATGGTCAGAACTTTTATTTGGAGCTTTTAAGACTTGAGAGCACTAACTTTTCTTCGTTTCTTTAAATGCTCTCGCTCCTCCTCCTTTTGGGACAATTATCCAACCCAAACGAATTGCTGAACCACTTCTCGCCCAGAAAAAGGTGTTATTAGAAGGCACCGACAAGTTGTTTCCCTATTCAGACCCTAAGAACCTTTAAAAAAAAAACGACAAACTTAAACAAGCTTGGAAGCAATTCCTAGTTGTTTAAGTTTGTTCTAGTTTGATGTTTGAGGGCTCCGGCGGGAGGGTAGGTGAGAAGGGGCGAGGGTAAATGTTATTGCCCCGCACTCCAAAAAACTCACTTTCCAACTTTGGCATAGGCAGGTGCAGAAGAAGCCTCCATTCCACCTGAGAAGAAATCTGCAGTTAACCATCTGTCGTATTCATCTTCTTCAATACTGACTGGGGTACTTTGGGCAAGGTGATAGGCATAGAGACCAAGTAGTAGGCCAAGAGTGCGCTCGCAATCGATAAGTGGAGACGATACTGACAATGCACTGTCCAAGGCAAGCTCTTGATCAGGCTGCAATTAAATGAATATAATTATGAATGCATAATCAGATAAAAAGAGAAAGTTTGTGATATTTTCTCCATATACTGTGAAATAGAGAGCAAAGTTCCCTTCACAAGTGGATGGATAGTCCATTTCCGAATTGCTTTGAGGTTATGTCCACACTCGTTCCTTTAATTTTCAGAACTCGTGCAAACTTCAGCATTTTCCGCCCAGCTCCGTGTACGAAAGAAACGAACACAGACTGGATATTAGTCCTTGAGTGGACAGATGTAGACGTAAACACGCAATTTTGCATCAACTCATGAAAAGAAAAGTGCTCATGTGGAAGATCTGATCAGATCATGTGGCAGACCATAAATAAGTTTAACATGTGTATAAATGATCGCTAAGGTTCATATGAAGGATAAGCACAAGAAATCGCTCTGAAAAAAGAGGCAACACTACAGGGTGTCCAAAAAGTTCGTTCCTCTACTTTATGAGTCTGTAACGCAGTACGATTGGACTTGATAAGCACATAATTTAAACTAAAGTTGTGACTTTCAATCTAATTTAATATTTCATACTTCTTGTGCCATCTTTTGACTCGAAATTCTATTTGTGTAATTTCGCGCCAAAGGTGTGCTGACCGAGTAAATTTTCCCGCCATATATTTTTTGCATTTTGTAGCCCGAAATGCTCGAACTCCTAACTTGTTTTGTGTGAATATCCTGAAAGATTAAACCCTTTCAACGAAAAAACACTCAGCTACGTGCAAGCAGAAGCATGTATTTCTATCTACTGGCTTATCAGTTGCACAAATTCCTAAAAAAATGGAAAAATCCGAATGTTGGGTGGTAAGATGGTCATAGAGAAATGAAGGTTTTACAGACAAGAAACGAGGGGTAAGACTGAAAGTCCTGAATAAAACCGCTAAAATAGTTTTAAAGAAGGCCATGTACAAAACAGGAAACCTAACGAGGTAGTTCTTACAACAGTTAGCAAGTTAAGTCTGGAGCAGGTTCATGAAAAGCAAAGTTTGGAGACCACTGAGATGGCAAAAAAAAACTTTACTCCCGGCCAGGGCCGTCCGTCAAGCAATGTTCAGCTCGTCTCAAATTTGTAAAGAAGAACAAAAGCCTTACTGTGGAAAAGGGACGGAATGATCATCTTTTCTTGGATCAATGCCCAAAATATGTTGTTTCAGCTGCCTAATCTAAAGAATTATATTGTTTGGGGGTCGAAGTAATTCCTACATACTAGGTGATAAAAAAAAAAGCTCAAAATGAATCATCTAGGGCTTTACATGTTACATGGCTTATCTCACTTAATGCCGCAACGGCTATAGAGTGTGATAAGAAAACAAAGGGGGGATGCCGGTAACTGAACTTCTGAACACAAGTACTCGATAGAGTGAGAAACATATTTTAGAAATTTCATGTAAAAATGAAGTTTTGATCAAAAGTTATAGCGCATGAAATTAGAGGAACGAACTTTTGGGACACCCTGTAATTACAAATGCCATAATGCGATGCACTTTGTCTACTACCGCTTATCTTTCAGGGAACACGAAGTCACTCAACATACACAGATATGAAATAAAATATTAATTTCTCCTTCCACTCACTTCAACAAAAATCCCTACAAAGAAAGCTTGCATCATTTCTCTTGCTTCCAATGAATGCTTGGTTTCCTCAAAAATTTGAGTGGCATCTGATGCTGAGCAAAATAGAAAAGAACAACTGCATTAACTACATTGTTTAACTTTCTCCACCTTAATAAACCAATGATACATGTTGATACATGTACCAACACGTCTAAAACGCCCACCCTCACTTACAGTACCGCTCAAAAGTCAGTTACCAGTCGCATCTCGTTTCCTGCCCGCGCGACGAGAAACTCGTAGTGCCAGAATCATCGAAGCGGAAAGTTTTGGCATAGATTACAGTCAACTGATTTCGCGAGAATACCATAGACTATTTGATCTCGTAGTTTTCTTAATCAACGCGACATGAGCCACTTTGACTGACAGAAGAGGAGACCTTGGTTAGTAGTAATAATCAAACATTACAAGAGTGATTTTGACCGATCTCTATAAGAGGAGTTCTCTCCTTTCGAGTTTGGTGACTCGCCAAGTAAAATCTAGGGGAATGTCAAATACGCGTCTGAAGATCCGTTCAATCGATAACGAAATTACAATTCTTCGCTACACAACCATTTGCATGCGAAAAATGATCCTTGCTGGTGGGTTTGCAAATCACATCGTTATGCGGAGCGGAAAAAAATCATCATAGAACTTTATACAATAATTCCAAGAAATGTTTACCTGCATATGACTGAAGCCGTTCTTTTCCGCACGGGGCCTTGAAAAAAAAATTAACAGCAATAATCACCATTTTTATTATTGTCACTTTTCACATGATCAAAATCATCAACATTGTCGTCATTATCGCCATCGTTATCATTATCATTAGCATCATTGTCATCATCACCACGATCACCATCGACAACAACAGAAACAACAACATCATTTGCAATGGCATTCATTTGGCGTTTGGCTAGGAATGCATTTCCATTACAGTGTCGAAATCATCCTGGTTTAAACTTGACAGCCATCCTTTTCACTAAGCAACTGTTCTACACACTTACAAAATAGTCAAAGTACCTGATCTTTGAAATCTTGAAGGTCATAAACTTTTCCATGAATAACCACCCACAGACCACCGTCTTTGTTATGATTTTCTAGGTCTTCAGGCCTGATAAATGTTATATCATTATCAGCTCTCCGTCGAGCTGGTGTTGGGCTTCCTATCCCGCCAGGCCAGGCTAAATCTTCCTCGTCTTCCTTTTGCACGCCAGGGGCCAGCGTGTTAAACTTGTCCAGCAAGTCTAGCAGACCACTAATGAGAGGAACTGTTTTAGATGAGTCCATGACACTTGGCATGCAAGTCTGCAGCAAGACCATGGCACTCAGAAATTCAGGTAGTAAAACACCTGTAAATTCTCGTTGGATTATCTGGGAGGCCATTACAAAGTGCCGTGGACCATTTGATGCCAATGAAGAGGCTACAGGAAGAATCTCACCAACATGGGCGCAGAGCAAAGTAGCATACTTATGTAACAGTAATGTAGCTCCACATTGCTTAACACTCAGAGCCCTCTCTTCACCTTCGAAATAAATAACATACATTTGCTTCTAAGTGGTCATGAACAAGCACCTTATTCATTCAGGCATTAAAATGTGATGATATAAGCACAGATGCAAAGGTGGGATAGTGGAATCTAAAAATCTATAAGTGGTGAAATACACGCAGGCATTTCACTCAAAGTAATGCAATGAAATTCTACACCAAGCGTTGCTCTCCCTTTCAACTAGCGCTTAAACAATCTAAAAGAGAAAAGGCCAAGCGTCTGCTTTATTTTCAAGGTTTACAAACGTATCAGGAATGAATTTCATGGCAAAGGTAAAACAAGGGACTACAACTAAAAGATTGGACTTGATGCTGCTAAAAATAAACTTGACCAAAATACTCTCACAGACTAACCTTTAAACAAATACCACGGTCTATCATCTTCATGATGTAAAAAGAAGCTTCCTATAAGAAGTCTTTGTAATTTTAATAGCAGTTCCACGGTCATGGGGCGGGGTGGCGGAATGTACGGCCACTGAACAACAGGTGGCTTGAGATTTAACTGCTGAAATTCACTTAAGACTTGCCCAGAAGATGTCTTCAGCAGTTGCTGCGTTAGATGAAGTAGAGGAACGTCAACAACCTCCTCCTTAGTTTCAGACGTTTTCTCCTTGTCATTTTTCCCCGCACCTTCTTTTATGTCATTTTCTATAGCTGTCTCAAGAGCAGATTCTAGACTACCTTCTGCCATCAGGCTGCTAATGAGCAGGTCTGACATGAACTTTCTTCCGGCTGGCGAAGATGTTGGTTTGTCGCATGCTGTTGGCAGAGAATCAAGAGAAGAATCAGAAAAGAGACTTCAAGTTAGAGAGGAGCTTGCATAATTTGCTTTGTACATGGTGCAGTTGGGCGGATAAGATAATAGAACTGAAGGAGAAGTCAGAGGTAATAACAGGGGAGGGGATGCAAACTGGTGGATAGTGAGATGACCAGACATGCCTAGTGTGACTCTCGATGCACAACAAAGATAAAAAGTTAACTTAATTTTGAGCGGTGCTATGGGTCAAAAGATGGATGGACAGCTGGGTGGAAAGTTGATTAAAAGAAGGGATAGAGGTAGAGATGCATACATGGACAACAGAATGACAAGTGCAACTAATGAACGTCGGAGAGGCGAGTTGGAAGGATGACACAAGGGAGACGAAAAACATGGAGGGAAGGTAGAGGAGTCGAGAAGAGAAAAGAAAAAGAAATGGACCGATTAAAAAAAAAAAAACATTCTATTTTCGACTTACTTTCAATAAGTAGGTCAGTTAATGCTCTTGCTCTTTCCTCTGGTGTTGGGAGTAATAAGACCCAGCCATTTCTCAGAGCTCCTTGAGCTGCAGATTGCACTGTCTTTAAAACCCCCTTGTTACTGGCAAGTGTGACCACTTGTTGTTTGAGGGACTGAAGAAGCTTGCTTCCTACTCCAAGACCTAAATCATCTGCAGATACACTTCCTGTAATGGCTGCATGAAGCTGAAGAGCAAAAACAGTCACAGAGTTATTAAAAGCAAAATACGCATGGAGCAGAATACCTTTCAGCGATGACACAATTTTGGAGGTGCAAGTGCTGTGTAGATGGAGGGCCATAAGGGAAATTAAAAAGTAACAAAAGAAAGAGCCGTATAAGGCAAAGCGAACCACAACACCGATGCATTAAACAGAGGGAAATATATAAATGAAAAGGCAATCTTTAAATAGAAGCTGCAAAATGTACGGCGCTGAAAAGATGGGAAAAGGGCTTTCTCGAAAACATGCAACGCCTTCTGCATTAAACTGGGTTAAAAATCTCCAAAGACGCAAAATAATTAATGGCATGCGTCCCGCCCGTAGGATACAAAGATCAATTCATCAATCTGAAGATGTTTTTGTTGAATATCTTGTTCGTAAGAATTCTACGGCTGTTATTGTGGCTGTTGTGTGACGATGCGTTTTCTTTTAGTCTATTCTGTGCTTTAAATAGAACGACTACATTTATATTTTAATTTCAGTAAACTGCAATCAAAAGTTTTGGAGTCTCTCTTCAGATTAACTGTCTGGTTACATATATGTAAAGGCCTAAGCATTTTCAATTTAGGACTGGTTGATTTTTGATCTGGGACTCATTGGCTCTACACTGGAACTCATGATTTTTCACAAAATGAGTCCCAGGACTCACCATAACCATTTGTAACAAAATCACCGCATACATCTCACTGAAACCAATAAATATTGATCGCTCACCTGTAGTCTCAACAGGTTTAATGTTGCTACCGCAATGCATTCTTTCTCTTGGGGAGGAGGGGGCCAATCGAGTGCTCCTGTTAGGTCTTCACTTACACGCCGTAAGAGTGAATCAAGATATTCAAATGTCTTCTTACAAACATCAAGACAAAACGGAAGACGTAGACCAACATTCCAGTGACCAGCTGATGACCATGCAAAACTCTAGGGGAACGAATTATATGTGCGACATTGTATGATTCAATGCCAAGAAATTCTTATAATGTGATAATCGTTTTTCGATCTGGTATCTTTAATTATTTCATCCAGGAAAGAAAGCCCACACAGGGAAAAACAACAACAACAACATCTTAACAAGCCAAACGAGAACTCTACACATGTGTCACAATTTTGCTACATTTCGTCCTTTTCCCCTGCATAACTACAGCGTCATATGATATAATTGTTAACAAAAATTATGCTCACATTACGTTATCGTTCTCAAGTTATTACAACTACAAGCACACACTAATTTCAGTACTTCAGCTTCCTAGCTATTACCACCGCTAATAATTTAATTATAACTACATTACGATTTACATTGTGCGTCTATCTTGATAGAAAGCAATTTTTTGGTTGCATTTGATTTGTTTTGGTAGTTTGATGGCACAAATGTCCTATCTGTGAACCTATCAGTAATATAATCTACAAATGTAAAGAAATCTCACCTGTGCAGGACCACAGGCCACCCCAGTTATTTCCTTGCTGTCTAATGCTGCAATAAGGGCAGGCTCTGTTCTGGCAATATTAGAAGTGTCACCCAACTGTCCCTGCTCATTTCTGCCCCAACTGTACACCTCGCCATCCTCTGTGACTACCAAGCAGTGAACTGATCCTACAGCAACATCAACTATCTTCTTACCAGAGAATGCTTCAATCACTTTGGGATGGCGCATGTGGTCTTCGGCGACATGACCAAGGCGGCCACCATCCCCTTTACCCCTGTAACAAGAGTTCACATGAAGAATATTTGTAATACTTAAGCTAGTGATGCGTGTTTTAAAATTTGTTGATCGACAAAAGTTGTTACTCTTGTTGCTCAACAAGTTATAACATGGGCAATTTTCACCGTGACACACACATTAACACTGGGGGCATGTGGGTCAAACAGCAAACAATAGTTACCATGTCAACACTTGCCCATCCCTTGTCAAAGCCACGGAAAACTGGGATCCACAGAAAACGCGCACAACACCAAAGCTTTGTAGCTTGTCAATAATTTTAGGAGCTTTAAATGCGTCACTACCACCATGACCAAGTTTGCCATAATCGCCATCCCCCCATGACCAAACTGTACCTGTCACAAACAAAAAAGCAAATCAAAGCTTGTGATAAAGTTCTCTGGATAAAAATGTTTTTAAAAATTCAATCTTCAACAAGTGAAATGATGTGAAAATGAAAAAAAATCTAAAATATAAAGTGATAAAAATGTAAAAGAATAAAATTACGATAAAATAAAAATTAAGAAGGGATTCTTTGAGAATTTGTGTTCAAAAGAATGCTATTATTGAATGGGAAGAAGGCAAGAGTTATTGTCAGCGTTATGTACTTTCATAGTGTGTTAGGATTCCAAATACTTTGTAACATGACAATTGCCTTTGTCAATAATGAAGGCATTGTCAAAATCAATATCATGGTTGTGGGTCCAAGCATGATTGCCAATCTGGGAGCCTTTAGCTGCTGTTTTTACATCATTATTTTTTCCTAATGGCAATCAATCTTGTTGAAGAAACAATCATGAACACAACACAACATCTGTAAATGAAAGAGGCGACACTTTAAACAAGACAGCTGTCTAACCCAACTGCATCAAATACTAATATATTTTCTACTTAATAACCATTTTCTTTTTAAGACCAGGTATGGGGCGAGGCTATCTTGTTCTTAACTTTAAATGGATGAAATCCCATGTTGCTGCGATTCAAATGAAACCTTTTCTGGCAGAACTTTTATAACGACAAAAACAGCTTTATCCAAAATTCTGAATAAACATGACAATGCTTCTGCATGGTACTTTACTTTCATTACAATTTTACAAACATATATTATTTTGGAATTTTAGGGAATTTTCTACGTCAATGACAACTATGTATTTAGAGATTCTTACCATCATCAGCAACAGCAAGGCTATGAGCATCCCCACTGCCACAGGCTACATCTATAACATGATAACCTCGCAAACCACTCACTAGCATTGGAACAAGGTGGTCCTCACTATTCCCTAGAAAAAAAGGAAAAAATACAGAAATGATAAACCCAAGATGCAATATGACTCACAAAACAAAACTAAAGTTATTGAAAAATAGAGGAGAGTAGAGAGCAGTGGGGATGGAAGGAATGGACTAGTGGACAAATGGACAGACTGATGGAATAAGAGACTGACAGAAGGACAGAGAAAAGGAGGGGGGAGGAGAAAGAATTGGACAGATGGACACAGCTCCCCTTGATTCTTACTGCCCTTTTGCTTTGTTGACTTGCAATTTGCTACAGACAGTTTAAAACAAATTCTGACATGGTCTCTGACATATCAAACTTGTTTTTGCTGATAATTTTGCCGTTAATGAATGCTTTGAACTATGCAAAATACTAAAACTGCCTTAATGTCAGTCCCTTTCCTGTAGGTAGTGGCCACAGAAGCAAATTTGCTTTATTTAAAGCATTTGCCATTACATACAACTCATTAATAATTTGGTGTTAAGGGACCTCATAATAATACAGCTCTGATACGGTAAAGCACAAAATACACCCTGCATTACATTTTTCTGTCCATAACCATATCATGAACTGACAACTGACATTAGAGCGATTTTCCTATGACCTTGAAATGAAAATTCATGAACAAAACAAAAACCAGAAATGAACGGCAATAGAGCGATTTAAGTGGTTTATTGAATGGATGCAAATGCACTTGGCTTTTGGTTGGTTAAGCAAATGTTCGGGTGAAAAACTTCATGCCCAAGAACTTTCTAGAGATCAACGGATACTTTGCTTTGACGTTGTACTGCAACAAGATTAGCCAATTGAACAATGCCTTCTCCATATTAGGGTTTTCTTTGGCCAGAAAACAATGAGGCCATGTTTTTACCTTTTCATCCATTGGCTGATAAAATAAATAACGAACACTAACCAAAACCATTTTTCAAGATCATACAAAAATCGCTCTATTTCAATAAAGCAATGGTACCATGTCCAAGTCTGCCATAGTTTCCTCTGCCCCATGTGTACAACTCTCCTTCTGATGTCACAGCAGCACTGTGACTGCTTCCACAAGCAATCTGAACAACTTGCTTCCCAGCAAGGCCAGTAATCAAGGTTGGCTCATCACAAAAACTACCACAGTAAGCAACAAAACAATTATTAATCTTATTAGTCTAAGAATTTATTATTCGACTAATGATAATGATAATATTAGACTAATGGGTTAGGATGTGCGGAGAGAAAGGAGAAAGTGTAAGTCGCCTAACAAGTGAATGCAGCAAGTTAGCCCAGTGTCAGTAATAGGGGTGACATGACAGTTTGGAGCGATATGTGATATGAACAGTGGTACAAACATACCCTAGAGCAAGTGGTAGAAAATACAGGTTTTAAAGTTCTATGGGATTTCAATGTACAGTGTGATAGGGTGGTTGAAGCTGGAAGGCTGGACATCATCTTCGTTGATAAGCAGGCAAAGGAGGCTAAGATCATAGACATCGCTATCCCTGGAGATGCACAAGTAAAACACAAAAAACTGGAAAAAAGTAATTGAGAAGTACTAATTTCTTCGAGAAGAAATAGGAAAGTTGTGGAAGCTGAAGAAAGTGTGCCAATTGAGATTGGGGCATTGGGAGGTGTATCTGACATGTTTGAGAAATATCATATGTGGGAAAACTTAACATTACCATCAGACTTGAAGTGATCTAGAAAGAGGTTCTCTTGAGAATGCCTAGACTATTACGGAAAGTGTTGGCTATTTAGGAACTCAAATGTAAGGACTCCTTTGGGACCTTTAGGAACTTGTAGATGCTTGCTCCCAAGGGTAATTTACCAGGCAATGTAAACCTTTTAAGCCTGAGATTCAACAATAATTTATAAAAAAATAATAATTTTTTAACAAAGGAAAGGATCTTAAAGTCATGTGATGAATAAAATCACAAGAAAATAATTCTTATGTTCACGTGTTTATGTATGAGAATCAAATAATTAGTAGGGTTTTAATTCCAAGAAACTGATTTTAAAAGAACTTTGGGCATCAACAAGCCATCTTTTTACACTCCAAATTCTTACTTGTTGTCCCCATGGCCCAGTTTGCCGCCATCTCCAGATCCCCAGGAATATACTTCACCCTCACGGCTTAGAGCCATGAAATGTTTGCACTCTGGGCTTGTAGCAATTTTAATGATTTCACATCTTCTAGCTAGAGATTCTATGAGCATAGGGCCCTGTAGAACAAATTGTACAGTTACTAAAGATCGATAGCTGATTTGCAGACATAAATAATTTTAATCAAGGTCACTCAAAATTTTAATGTACATCCAAAAATTACTAGTATCAGACTGGTGTCTTTCTTTTACGTACATATACAAAAACCATGAAAATTTTGGCTGTATTTGTTTGGCAAATAAATTAGCCACCACTTGCTTAAATTTAGCAAAATAATTGTCTCCAATTTTGTTTGTATCAATTATTGTATACTACATGTAAGCCCTTATCTGTATCAGGGTTTTTCATTGAGAATTCTAGTAGCAGGAGAAAGGTGAAATGTTGCAGGAGAATATTTCTTAAAGGGGCTCCACATCTGAGTCAAAAATAGTTATAGGCTATTGACCGTTAGCCAGAGAATTCTGTGTAGTAAACGGAGAATTCTCCAATCTCCGATGCCTACACCCTGCTGTGCACAGTATATTCATAGTGCACTGTGTGCAGAACTGTAATATCAGCAATTGCCATATCCCCTTATCGAAAATTTGTAATTGTAGGATTCACTATAATATTTACCATAATTACCATAATTATCATTACATGTAGTTATGAAAGGCCATTTAACTTAACCAAGAAAATAAAACGTGCACAGCCTACAGTGTACACAACCATACATGTAATTGTATTTGCTGTTTATGAAATTAATAATGTTCAAGAACATAAAACTAAACACTCACTTGTCCCTCAGACATGTAATGACAGGTGTAGACTTTGCCTGTTTTAGTCAGTGCCAGAAAACACTTCTCCGCGCAACAAATCTGAGCAATGCCAATAATTTCCACCAAGCTGCTCAATGAGGTTGGGCCCAAGGTATGACCAGCATTCCCCCAAGAGAGCCAACCCCACCCATAAACTTCTTGGACAAGGGCAACGCTTGGAGTCTAAACCAGATAATTATTATTATTAAAAAATGAATCATTAAATAATGCAATTCTAGAGCTCTGCTTGGCTTAGCCATCATGGTATATGAGCCATTATACCATGCTCTCCAAATATCGTACAATGTAACTGTATGCATCTGCTCAAAATTAAAAACAAGCTGAAAATAGGTCATTTCTACAATATTTTGTGAGCGTTTCTAATAAAACAATCATTCTACTTGCTCTTGTTGGATATGAGACGATTATAGCCAACTCCGTATGTAATTTATATTTATTTTTTAGCAAAACTTTTATGGATGTACCTTTGAGTAAGGCTTTTCTTATTCTTAGTTAGGTTTTTTAACATTATACACAACAAATGATGATTCTCATTTATTATTTAGTTATTTTTATTCTATGTATTGATGTAATGCACAGTTGATCATCTGGTCATGGAATCTGCGCAATATAAATTCTCAAATTATTATTATTATTAAATTATCAGTAATGATTACATGCACTGTGTCTGCAATGTACCTTTTGATTTGATGACAGTGGCAGATAAGGGGCAGCTAATCTGTCCAAGTGTGAAACAAGAACAACAGCACAGTGCTGCAGTTCAACAAACTCTGATTCATCTTCAGGGAGGGCTAGGTAACGCAGAAATGATTCTGTTGGACTCACTTTAGGCACACTGGATGAAAGGACCTATGGAGTAAAATATACATGTACATGCAAGATGCATCTAGGAGACATCAGCATTTACAAACTACAGTTCTGGTTGGAACATTAATATCAATAATTGACCCCAGCGTAAGTATCACTATATACATGTACCGCTGTACATGTATGTTACAGGTCAAAATTAAATTCAGGTTCAAATTTTTTAACCTAGGCTGATTCTCAATTTTTCTTGGTCTCCTAGCCCTAATTATTCATGAGCAAGAATTTAAACCTGGAAGACTGCAATATTCAATAAAATCCAGTGCCCTAGTCTACGATTCATGCACTGTCACCTACGGATGGTAGGTAAATATTGCTTGTGAAAAGAATAAGGACATTAAGGAGCAAACTTACCTCATCAGCTAACTTATTAGGTTCTAGAGTCCTTTGAGAAGCCCCACTTATCTCCTCAAATCTCTGCAGCAAATGAATAAGAGGTGCAGATGTAAAACAAGAATCAGTGTCATTATCTTGTCCACTGTCCCAAAGTTCTAACAACAGCAAAATAGCTTCCAGCATGTGTTGAAGGGAGCCACGCTGTACAGCAAGTTCTAGCAGTATTCCTAGAGCCACATGTTGGTCAGAAACAGGTACAGAATCAAGTGGTTTGCAGTACACTCTGTCTTCATTTCCCCTCCTATCAGAAGAGCAAAAAAGAAAAATAAAACCATGATAGAAAGTTCACCATCAATCGTAATATTATTTCTTCATGGGTACACTTTAAAACAACTTACATTAGTACTTGTAGGTTAGCAAAAATGTTGGTGTTGCAATTCTTCAAACCATCAATTGCAGGTACTTGGGGACAAGATTTGTCCCTTGACTCCCATATGAAAATAATGGGGATGCTCATCTTATTGTTTAAGGAAGAAAATGCAGATTTTTGGGAGCCCTTTGGGCTCCTAAAATAAAAAAAGTAGGAGCCCAAGCCAAATTTCTAGGAGCCCATTGATCCATAAACTTAAATACATGTAATACATATACAGGGATGTCAATACGTTTTTAGGCAGCCATTTCATTAAAGGTGTCACCTGTAGCACTGCTGTACACTACGAGGCCGGCAGCCGCGTAGCGAAGACCCGCAGAGTCTAAGGCCCTAGAGGGGTTTGGGGACATGCTCCCCCAGAAAATTTTTGAAAAGGATAACCCTGTAAGTGCATTTTTCTGTTTTCTGACGCATGAAAAAGGTGTTTGTCGATCGCAGTTACCGGCTGTTTAATCACCTTCGTCTACCTGGCTTTCCGTTCATCGTGATTTATAGAAAAATCGATCGATTCCAGGGTGGCTTGAAGTGCGTTTTCTTTTACTCATGGGTACACGCTGATTAATTACACACTAGAAATTCACGCCTTCTTCACGTCAGAGTTCAAGACAACAAACATCGGTTACAGGAATTTCACAAAAGGTAGGAGCCGTGCACAACCTTGTCACCGGGGCCATCTCCACTTTCGAAATAGCAAGCGTTATTGTATAAAGCATTTTGAAAATAGCTTCCAACAGTAACTCGGTTTCACATGGTTTTATAGTTTATCTTTGAATTTTACAATCTAGTAGATACGAAATGAGGAGGCAAGACACCAAAAAACAATTCTGTTCATTTCAGCAGGTAATTCTTTTATTTCGCTTTATACCTGCAACAATGAACATCTTCACCCATTAACATCGAGTAGACTCAGCCGTAACAGGTGTTACGGGTTATGGCCATTATTGACATCCCTGATTTATGTCCTAAATTGAAAATACTTTTGCCTTTACACTGAGTATGTAACCAGACAGTTAATCTAGAGACAGATGCCAAAACTCTGAAATCAAAATATGGTCATTCACAAAAAAGACTAAAATATATATGCATCTCTTAAACAACAGCCACAGAAATCACACAAACAGGATATTCTGCTAAATCGATCAGTCGTTCTTTGTGTCCTGCGGGATGCATGCTATGAATTATTTTACATCTTTGGGGACGTTTATGTTTTCACTGGGAAAAGGGACGCAGAGGTAACAAAATCACTGCCTAACTATTAAGCAACTTACCCTGCCACCACTGATCTTAGAAATTTTGTTGAACGGTCAACCACTTCAAGCCACACTGGTGAAACTGATCCTTCATCAAAAAGAGTCGCTTCAGGAAGATACTGCAAAGCTTCAAGAGCTTCATCAAGAAGCTCACGGCATAAGTCTGCATCTTCCCCTGATCTCCATGCACGACGTAGAAAAGCGAATGCGAATGACAATGCTGCTCTAGCACCAATTCTAGCTAGACCTAATGAGGCCTGCTCAGAGTTAGCACGGTTCCTACGATTTTTAATTACATGTTGTTTCTCTTCTTTTACACTCTTCCTTTTCACACTCTTGGCAGTATTAGCTTCCCTTTCACGTGACGAAGCAATAAAATAACGCCCCAAAACAGCTAGCCTCTGCTGAAGCCTCATAGCAGACAGGGTTGTTCCTGCTGCTTGGCTTGCAAGCTCCTGTTGCTCAAAAATGAGGCCCTGGAGGACTTCTCTGAGCTGGTCTGGGCTTGGCTGGTCCCCCCAAGTCCATGAGTCCATCAAGGGACCTGCAGCTGGAGGTGCTCTCTCCTCCTCTTCTTTTTGTTCCCTATCTTCTTGGTCCAGTTTCTGACATGATTCACAGTTACAGCCATTTCTAGGTCCACAATGTCCATCACAGCACATACATTTTAAAATGCGACGACCACAATAAAATTTGCCAGTCTCACCCTTTTGGGAAGGCACACCATCACTGTTGATCCTTACATCAGAGGGTTTACCAGGGATTTCTCCATCTTTTACTAACTCATTCCAAAGCCTTTTAAGACCTTCAATTGAAAATGCAGTCTAAAAAGAAAAAGATACAGTATTCTTATCATCACGTTTGATGGTAAATAAATATGTAGCAAACGTTTCTTGCAGTACACTAAAGAAAGAGAAGGGAATTGAATAATTGATTTTTACAAACATGTACATGTAGAAAAACTGGTCTGGGATAAAATCACTTTATCAGAATAATAAAGGGGCCATGAATCACGTAAACTTAACAAAAACTCATTTACTGTGTAAAAAAGTCACATGCACTGTAACTATCCAATATGCAGTCTTCACCAAAATTCTACATGTAGATGCTTATAACTTTCTGCTCAACAGAAGGATTTATGATTCAGAGAGTACATGTAGGCTAGTTCTTATTATTGTCAATATTACCAAGATCCCAAAAACTTCCATTATAGGGGCACTTTCAAGTTCAATACGCGTAAAAAATACACGTAGAAAAGAACAAAGAACAATCAGCACTGGGAATTTGCATTTATTCAGCTCTCAGTGTGTTATTGTGAAAACATGATAGAGTAAAGCCTGTTTATCATATGCCGCTGATGTACCTGCGAAGTAGCCACTGGCACTGCCCGGGATACTGTTTGGTTGAATGAGAACAAGTGCCACAGGCAACAATTAGCCACTGCAGGGCTTTACTGCTCGGCCAGCATGCCTGTGAAGTTGAACCCGAGTCAACTATGCAAGCATGCGAGCGGGAAAGACTGGGATAACTAATGCTGCCAGCCACTTCTCTTCTATCAGAAAAGTATCCCAGGTTGTACCGGCTGTCATTTTGTAGGCAAGTCAACCACATACCAGAACCAGACTTGAGTCACGTGTAAGTACATTATCATACAGAGAAAAGGAATTAATAAAAACTGAGCCAATATGCTTAAGTTGAAAAGTGGTACAGAGTACACTGTACAAGTAAATTTGTTTTGGCAATTAGTACTGACATTACATATATCTTGATATCTGTCCCATTAATAGAGGCACAAAAAAATAATAATAAAACCGCAAGCATCTCTAACATAATTCTGTGACGCCGTTAGCTAGGAGTGGTTAACCGTCACATTACTGTTATCATTTGACTCAGTGAATTCGAGAAATCAAACAAAACACACGTACATGTACAACACACAAGATCATGTGATAGCAGTAGGAAATGGCATAATTATTTACATCCAACAGAAACTTCCAACGTTCTTAGCTCACAACACAAGCATTAGGGGCCAGTTGGATAAACTTGTTACAGTCGGGCAAAACTACTAACTCGCGTTGTACATTTCTGCAGCTGCCTTCAGGTTCTTATGAAATGACCTTAAACCTGTTCAAGGGTAAACACTTTCAGCCTAGAATGAAGGTCGTACGCTTTTACAAAAGCCACAACACTGAAGCTTTTGTACCTGGCCGACTTGCACGCAAACAAGCATTGTGGAATCGCGGAATTCAAAGCAATGAATTAAAGCACAGAACGAGGGGAATGATTGTTGTTGGGTTCAAGTTCCGCCAACGTTCAATTACAACCCAAAACAACCGGTTTATTTTGATTTCAACTAACCTGTATGTCAGTCTTTAGCCATTTTGAGTCGAGCCGTGGCTGCGGTCGAAGCGATGAAACCGGGTTGGCCAAATTCGGCATCACACCGCGTCAGAAAAAAATGCCACTTGTTTTATCCGAAGAGAATGAAATACAATGCAAAGATTCTCATCGTTCCTGGTTTGCTAGATAGACTGAATGAAGAACAAAAAGATAATATTATTTCCTTCGTATCTTTCCGCGGTAACTGTACTTCACAATGTCAAAAAAAGAAAAAAGGTTAGGTCACTCTGTTTGCTTTAATACGCCCGAATATGTGGAAAATGGGATTAACCGCTGACATAGGATTAGTTGTTCCCAGTCCGAACCGAGTACACATCTCGCTGCACAAGCAGAGTGCCTTTATCCCATACGTCGAGAAAAGAGCTTTGCTCAGCCAAAGCAAAAGTAGATCCAATAGGGATTATCTTTGTTTATTTTATTTACTTGTGTTTTTCTCTTGGCTCCGCTTGAAAATTCCCCACAGCCCCAGACAGACCCAGGTGCGGGATAAGAGAGAAGCAGCTCATGCTCATTTCAAAGCAAAAAAATGCAACTCATTAAATAACAAAAGGATAACAAAACATACAACAGCACATTTCATATTAGTCTCCCTCGCAGCCGTTTTTTGGATGTCACGCAACGCTTGACATCCAAAAAACGGCTGTGAGGGAGACTAATTTCATGGAAAGCCTAAAGACAGCGTAATTTTTAACAGCAAAAAGGATTCTAACCGGTATTTTGTGGAAAAATTCACAAAATTGTGAACTTTTAAATCTTAGCGTGTGGAACTCTTGAAACAAAGAACATGTCAAAAAAATTTAAGATTGTGAGCGTAATACTTTTTTACTCATGAAGCTTCACGCCTGGATAATCAAACAGTGTACTTGTGCCTAGAAGAGAATTTTATTAGAATTTTAACAAAGAGAAAGTGAAATTATCTCCGTATTTCACTCTAAACCATTTGATTTCATAAACTAGTGAAGCATTTGTATAGCTCTGTATAAAGCTCAAAGGTGCTTCACAATAAAGGTTTGAAACTGTAAGGTACTACAAATGAAATTCAATTACTACATTACAAAGAAGGAAAATAAAAAAAAGTTATGAATAAAAAAAGGCGCTTTTAAACTTTTAAGACGAAGATACAGAGTTCATTTTTTGTGCTTGGGAGGGTTGTTGACTATTTTCCAATTCCCCATAATACACTCTGTCTGCCCCCCAAATTTTGCATAACTTATTGTCTTAAAGTGCTCTTGGGAAAATGCAATACTCCCAGGAGCATTTAAAAACAATGGTTTATGCAAAATTTGGGGGGCAAACAGAGTGTATTATGGGGAATTGGAAAATAGAGAATTGCAAAGTTTAGGGGAACGAACCGAAAAGCAAAAACACCGAGTTCAAACGTTTTATCCAGAGTGCTTAGGGCAATTTTTACGTGTTGGCCAGATTTTGCAATAGTGTTAGATGTGCACACGCGTAATTTAAGCGACTTGACTTGCGTGATCCCCATTTTAATTTGCACACCGTGAGGCAACACCTACAAACCTTTTGTTACGCCATAACAATAGCTGTCCCTGTGAAACTATTTCTATGTAAGCTTCGAAACGAGCCAAATTTCCCTGAAACTTGAACCCCCAATAGTCAAGTTAGGAACTCAAGGTAGCTTAAAGTAAACCCCAAAAGAGACCTGGAAATGTTTCTGTTCAATTCGAGAATGATGAACTTATCAACCCAGCATCCCCATCACTTTTATGTGGGAGGACCCCCCGTCCCCTCCCCAACGTATGAAGTTTTGTCGGTTTCAACGCTTAAAAGAACTACACTATAATTTCTGGAATTCAAGTGATGCAGAGGCACATCTCCCTTTTTTTTTAGAAGATAACAAATAGCGTGACGTCGCTTCTTAAAGGTGGCAAGCCAAAGGACATCATCGGGTACTCTTAATAGTCTGGTTATGATGTCACCTTTTTATAATATTAAGACAAAATAAAAAAAGCGCTTTAAAAATTGAGTCTTGAGCCTGCTTATAAAAGAACGAAGTTTGAGACTACGTTTTATGTGCTCTGAAAGATTATTCCAAAAGTTAGGGGTACAAAACAAAAAGCACGCGCACCGATTTGAAACATTTGTGCCATTCAACATTTCGTTTGTTTGGGTAGCTTTCGCGCATAATCACAGTTAAACCGAATTACTATACGTGATGTTTTTATTTGCACACCTGTTGTTTTGTTCAGATCAAATAGGAGGTTGAATATACTTATCTTTTCTTACGCTTTAAGAGCATCTGCCTGCGTGAAACTATTTCTCAGCCTCAACAAATCAAAGCTCCCTAAAACTGGAACTTCCAAACAATATTCGCACTGCATACATATTGTCCTGTCACGGGGAACTAAGTTATGGCAGGAACCGCGACTGCATGCCAGGACATTAGGCATGCCAAAGTATGAGGGTATGCGACGTCAGGCTCCACCAGGGGAGGTGGGAGGGGCAAAAGTCACTTCCACTGAGCTCCGTTGAACTAGCCAACAGGAGGGCAAAAACCGAGCAATTCTCATTGTTGGTTTTCACATGACGTCACTAAAATTCAAACTAAAAAACTATCGATCTTACTGAGATTTTACTTTCACGATACATTAGAGCATCTGAAAACTAATTATCATACAAATTTTCGCTTCAAAAGGGTTCTTGGTTTTGTGATAGAGTACGCTTTAATTTCTAAACTTTTGCGTGACGCGGCATTTACATGACGGCCAAGAGAGCTGTCATGTAGGTTAAAAAAGTGACTTATTTCAGGAAATTTTGCTTTCTAAACAGTTCATGTATAAGAAAAAGTATTACTTTAATGTTTATGAGTTTCTCGAAGAATAAAT